GTAATGCAATATTCGCTTAGAATTGAATCTTGTTTAACGCGGTTACAAGCCGACATACATTATAGTTGCGAGAATAAATCCGAGCTAGTAGAAAGAATTGCCACTATGGAGGATTTAGCCCTTAACAGTTTTACATTAGGTTATTCTAATTATGGATATATTGTTAGGTGCCGAAACCCGAAAAATTTAAGCGAGGCGATTACACATGCCATAGAAAAGGAAAAATTATTTATTCTAAGCAAAATTTCTTCCAAATCATATAAGCAATGTTCTATATGCCAAAAATTCGGTCATGATTCTTCTAGCTGTTAGAATAATAGGAGAAAACGATCTCATCGAGCTTATTATATTAATCCACAGAATAATAACACTTATTCCAATTCTCATAACATCTCAAATAAAAATCCTATTAAAATATGTAGTTATTGTAAAAATCCGGGACATGTGATAAACGAATGTCGCAAGCGATAATATAACCATATAGCGATAATAGAAGGCTGTGGCTAGCCTTCGTTGTAATATGCAATCAGATACTCGTCCGACGAATACGATACCAAGTCCCAGTGCGCATGCACCTAATAGAAATAATATGCATTTATGTGACGCACAACCATCTACCTCTAGTGCTGATATTCGTAACGAAGATTTAAACTAAATCCGATTTCGGAAAAGTGCCTACCGAAATCGAAGATATTCAAAGGCACAAATAATTATTACTATTCTACTAACTCTTATACCAAATCTTATACTAAGCCTATATATAATGATAACGAATTTAATTACAATATCGTACAAAATATTCTTATAATACATCTCAGCGACGTCAAATGCTGCCGTCTTACTAAGTCTTGTAATTTTAAAAATACTATTTCTTATTCTAACTCTACACCTCGGGAACAATATCCGAGCCCATCTTTGACACAAAGTCAAAGTCGTAATACTAATTATTTATTACCTCGGGAAAACTATCCTAGGACATCTCTGGATCAACATCAACATCAACAATCAACATCGCTACCGATACAGGCGTAAGTGTCTCTATTATAAAAAAAATCGAGTTTATATGGAAACTTTACGCTCTCCTATGTAATCGTAAAACTCAAAGGTATAAACAGCCCTCAATCTTGCAACGAAACATTAGGAACATTACCATTAGATTTTATTTTAGATAATTTTTCCATAAAAAACAAGTTTCATGTCACATCCGACGATATTAATATTGATTATGACGGAATTATAGGAAGCGACTTTCTCAGTTATTTTAAAGTAAATATAGATTATCATGCTTATTCAATTTGTTTTAAAAATTCTATATCTGTTCCTATCCACTTTTCGGACATACATTATACCGCGTAACGAAACTGTTATCGAATGCTCCGTGTCAAATGACCCATCCGAGTTGCGTCACCTTAAGGATACACTCATACTAGATCAAACCGTTTGTAATGGTGTTTATTTAGCGAACTGCATAGTTACTTTAAAAGCAAATAAAAGAGTTAACGTTTAGGTTTTGAACACAACCGAATCGGAAATTAAAATAAAAAATTTCAAAGTTAACTTAACGCCAATAGACTTTAAAGAATATTCCAAATCTTTTGAATCTTGTAATAATATAAATACAATTTCGACAACCTACTCTAATCGTGTCCAACGCGTCTGCGAACAAATTCGTCACTCTCATTTAAACTCTGAGGAGAAAAAACTCTTACTAGATTGTTGCTCACAATACTCAGACATATTTTATCTTGAAGGAGATGACCTCACATGTACAAACGCGATTCAACACTCAATTAATACAGGAAGCACCCCTCCTATTCACGTTAAATCATACCGTTTTTCTGAATGTCATAAAGACGAAGTAGACACACAATTAAAAAAAATGTTAAAAACAAAATATAATAAAGCCCTCAATATCTCTGTGGAGCGCCCCAGTGTGGGTCGTTCCTAAGAAAATGGACGCAACGGTCAAAAGAAGTGGCGCATTGTTATAGACTATATGCGACTTAATGATGCGACCATGAATGAAGTTTATCCTATTCCATTAATTAGCGATATATTAGATCAATTAGGGCATTGCAAATATTTTTCGACACTTGATTTAGTTTCCGGCTTCCATCAAATTCCTCTCAATCCTAAGGATGCTGAAAAGACTGGTTTTACACTAACCAACATAAATGGCATTTCGTTCTTTGAATGATATTATAATCATTTCAAACTAGCGCACAACAGCCCGCTTTTGTTGAGACAACTAAGCGATCGCAGCGCCTCACTTATTTTGTCCATATCTCTGGGACACTTTCTCCTGTTCTCTTACCTCCATGTTCGGGGTCTTCATTTTTATAGATTTTTTCTTCACTATATGCTGATGCGCCATATTGTGAAGTTTTTGGGAGATTTTGACGACAGCTTAACCCAGCGGATAGTTGATGACGATAGTCACTCAATTCATAAAGTGCCTAAACGATCACAATGACTTGAGGTTTATATCAACATCGAAGCATTTGTTTCTTCGTTTTCACATCATTTTTACGAATCAAAATCCACTTCAAACCATTATTTATACAATAAAACAGGAGAAATATTTCCACATTGAATTTGCGTAGGACTGCCATCAAAAAGTCCCTAGTTATAAATGAATTTAGTACCAAAAAAGTCCCCAAATGTCGCTAAATATATTTTTATTAAAAAACGTGAAACAAAGAAAAATCGAACAATATATGTATATATGTACACTATATATAATCGGATCGTTTGTAAAGGAAATGAGGTACTCCTGGTAAGAAAATAAAAACCCATAAGAGAGTAATTTTTAATAAAAAAAATTGATTCCAAAGCAAATGTTTCTATTAATAAGCAGTTAAAACGCCACATGATACTAACCACTATTATTATTTGTTTAATGTCATATTATCATGGTGATATGTTCACATATCGAGTATGAACAGTTTACGGATGCGCTGTAAGATTATGAGTGAATACTGATTGTTAAATTAAAATTGAAGTACATATAAAGGTATCTATACAATATGTTAAAAAAACTTGTCCGCTCCATGTAGATGCCTTTAGGTATGGAAATATATTTCCTTTTATGTAATCCTTTCCAGAGAATAAATGAAAAATTACCTCGCAGAAAATAAAATAATATTTAATAAATCGGCGTAAATTATACAGTAAAGTGGTTCGAGTAAAATGTTACTTTACTCGAACCACTTTACTGTTCGAGTTACCGAGAAACCGTCAAACGATTAAAAATACCGTCACCAACGAGGGTGTGGCTAGATTTTTAAAAAAAATTGCGAAATTTTAATCAAATTGTGGTAAAAAAACATTAACATTTTTATATTCCTTTTATGATGCTTTAATTTGTTTTGGTTATGTCACTGCGCTCTATGTGCCTGTTTAGGATTGGACACAGTGTTATTTTACATATCGTATAACCTTCTTCTAACATCACAAATACTTCTTTTATTACAAAATTAGCAATTTGGGATGGAAACAATCATAATATTCACTTTAATAATTAATCACTTTAATGAAATGAATTAATAATTTAGTTCTGAAACTCTTATCAACATGTGAAACATATCTCTCAATATTTGATAAGTATTATACATTTTTTGTTTAGGATTGTTTTTATGAATACAGATTATAAGGCAATAATGTGGCGTTTTCACTGTTCACATCATTGGCAATTTTATAAATGCACATTTTACTAAGGTTTCGGACACATACGACAAAATAAAAAATAAAATCAAGCCTAAGTGTCAATTATTATCAAATTAAAATTGAATAAGAAAAATATATTGTTGATCTCAAACAAATGTGGAGTAATTAATGTCTTGGTAACTTAATATTCAATAATACAGTTTAAACTTTACATAAATTGTACACTTGTTTTTGTCTTTATGATAGTGTAAAAATAATCGTTGGGTCGTGCGCGTGGTCAACGGAACTACACGTCTACAACATACAAAGGAACATTACGAAATAACTACGTTTCCGATATAAAAGAGTAATCTTAGTATGTACCATAATAAATATCTATCAATATATACTCTCGATCAACAAATATAATTTAATATAGGCAATAATATTATACGAATTTTTAAATCTATTAACGTTATCACAATATGAGTTTCGACGACATTATGCCGTCTATTTAATAAGTTATGTATCGTTTGTAACTCAGAAATAATTACAAACTTTGTTTTCACTCTTACATTGTATATTTCGTCTTTTTTATTGAAGAATACCTATTGATAGTGGAGATGAAAATTACTCTACGTACGCGCATCGCCGGCGAGAGTACGGACGTGTAAGTACAACAGTGGGTATTAGCGAGCGGCCGATCGGCATCGCATCGATCTGGGTAAATCGCCAGTTCAAAGGTCGCACGAGATCTAATGAAATACTGAGGTAATCGTCTACTAAACGGACGTATGAATATTAGTAGGCGGTACATCGCCTGCGAATTAGTAAGAATAACGTTGAAGCTTGTCAACGCGTGACATGTACATACACTTTGATCAATATTTAATACCGAGGCATACTTTGTCACTCTCATTCGACGCGGCCATCGCCTAGAAGCTAAAATTACAATACAATTTTGAATACTTGTTAACACATACACGTGTATGGATCAGTGTAGAACACCGAAATACTCTGGATTCGTTGACGCCTCGGCTGAGGTTCACTTCCCGTTTTAGTTTATAAATAAACGGATGCCATACGTATGAATTGTCGTTGTCACGGGTTACGCCCTCGTCTTTAATTTATAATTTCACAAGTCCTGGCAACGTGAAGTTAGCGGTCTGAGAGAGTGTGGGGTCGTCACGGGGCGCCGATAGAAGTTTTAGAGGGATGCGAAAGAGCATAGATAGCTCGATGTTCGCAAGCAGAATTCGGCGAACGATGTCGCTGATATGATGAGATGTTCGGTGATACGTTCGGAGCTATATGCTTGAAACGTCAGCGGCGCGCGAAACGTTCCCGTGTCCGATTCATAAGTCGACCGAGTCGAGGTCCTGCTTGGGCGCGCGGGGCGAGGGCGGTGTGGGCGGCGTGGGGGTCGTGGATGGCTCGGTGGGCGCGGGCGAGGGCGGCGGCGTGGTGGGGCGCGGGTGGAACTTGCCGGGCAGCGAAGCGAGCGCGGCGTGCGGGATGCGGCGCATGATCTTGCCCGAGGTGATGAGGCGGCCGAAGCCCTCCTGGTGTGCGAAGGCGTAGCCCGAGCGCACGGAGCGGCGCACGCGGCGCGCGGACGGTGTGCGCGGCGCCGGCGCACCCGCGCGCCAGCGCTGCCGCGCGCGCAGCCGCTCCGCTAGCGTGGGCCGCGTCCACGAGCTGGCCAGCCGCCACGACACCACCGGCACCATCAGGATCATCGTCTGCAACAACACCACCACATCAAACCGCTTTCTTCTTCCTAATCGAACTCCTTAAGTCCACAGTTGGACACTGATATCTCTCGTTATAAAGAGTTTGCCTTAATGACTCGAGTCGCCAACAGCTGTAAGTAATTTCTGTATTCAATGAGATGATAACATCGCCATCTTTCAGAAGTCACGAGATCTTTCGAGAATTTTCTATAGTCTATACTAATTTTTTATACTTTTATATGTGGTAGAGCATGCAGTAGCTATCTTTGTACAGTTGTAGCATGAATGCATCAACTCGACCAGGGAAGGACTACGCTCTCACAAAATACCAGCGTAAAATAATAATTAAACGCTGTTGTGTTTCGTATGATGAGTGTAGAGAACCGCAGACCATTTTTACTGAAAACTAGGCATTCAATCTTAGTCCTCAGGGGTCGCAATACATCTGCATTTTGATTCTTAATCAAGGATAAATGTAAATAAATGTCTATGGGCCACAGCCCACTTACCATCAGGTGGACTATGTACACGTTTGTCACTTATATTCTATAAAAAAATTGTCGTCTTTTGCGACATCTACGAAACCAAATAACGTTAAAGACGGAGCTCTTACTCCACCACCACACGGCGAAAGACTTAAGGGGCTATACTACCTCAAATGGCTTAGCAAGATCCTCAGTTATGCCAAAAATATTGCAGCATTAATTTTGAAATAAATATATGGTAAAGTTGAGGATTAATGTTAAGTACTATGTTAGACGAAAACACGATTCTGTAAAATTTTCTCGTTAGAAAAAAATCCATATTTACCTCCAAACCGAACAATAAATCGCTGGTAATCACAAAATACTTTGAATTAGATCATGAAACTTTGCATGCTAACTAAACTAAATATAAAGCAGGGCTTACGTTTTTTTTTTATTATCATTACTTTCACTGTAAAAAGAAATTACCTAAACTATCGGCTTCTTGACGCTTCTTGCCTGCCGCCCGATAACCCCGCTCAGTCTCGCTTCGGCTTTCGAACGGGAAAGCTGTGTCGCTTACGATCAGATTACACATTACGCAACAGAACAACGTAAAATTAAAATGGGAAATAACCGTAACAAAAATAAGAAGCGACTGGGTTGGCGTAAAGAAACAGACATAAATATGATAAACCTAGTGAAATAAGTATCTAACGACCTATCACCCCGCTCAGTCTCGCATCGGCTTTCGAACGGGAAAGCTGTGTCGCTTACAATCAGATTACAGATTACGCAACAGAACAACGTAAACTTAAAATGGAAAATAACCGTAACAAAAATAAGAAGCGACTGGGTTGGCGTAAAGAAACAGACATAAATATGATAAACCTAATGAAATAAGTATCTAACGACCTATCTACTCACAGTATTAGTGATTACAAACATGTCGGTACATGGCATACGACGCGCGGTGAACTGGGAGGCGAAATTAGAATTTTAGCTGAGGTAGTAATGTCCTTAATACATAAAACTATCCAACTCAAAAACGCACTATAGATCATTTCATTTTTAAGATCTATATAAAATAATACATTACAGCCCAAAAAAGTTCACTGCTAAACATAGACGTCCTCCATATATCGCCTCATAAAGGACATTTTGCCATAATCGCCACGCTTAACAGGCGAGTTAGCAACAGTAGATTTATAATTTTAAGTTAATTTCAGCAAGATACCTCTGCCCATCTCTAGTTTCTATTTCCCTCTGCCGCTTCTTACGACACACATAGGACGATATGACGTAGCAAATATTCTAACACCGCTACTGTAAGTATATATATCATATAAAAACAAGCTATTGATTAATTGTCAACTAAATGCGATCATTAGTCGCAAACAATAAACAACAGTTTTCACACTAACCAATAACATCCCCAACATCCCAACACAATTGAATTTAAGTTATTTAATGTCATAATTACTTTAAAGTTATATATTCAAAATACTATTAAATTCTCTTTAATGCTCTTCACTCAAATCTCCGGCCGAGCTTATAGTTGGAGCGTATGCAACACTTATGATTCAAGCAATCAAGCATTCAATAAAAATTTTATTAGTACAGGTGAAGCACTCCTAATGACAAACAAAAAATGAACAGAAGTCGGACATATAACCCATAAAACCGACAACCTTATACCAAAACTGTAAATTTAATCCTTTCTACAGGAATCTGATATTAAAGTTATAATACACATAGTGGCATACTATACTGTAGCGCATGGAATACTATAATTACATACATAATAGAACGGGGAAGTGGGCGGAGCCCGTGTAGCCACTAACATGTCATTAACACGTCAATTCACGCGTATAAATGCCAACACGAGATGTGTTTTGACGTTACAATCGTTTCCGAATTTCGTATGCAAATTATTTAGAAAATGCCAAACTGCATGCTATTTACAAATAAATATGTATTAAAATCTGTCTGTCAACACAGCTAATCCTGTTTGTATTACAAACATTTGATAATACGACGTAATTGCTTGTATGTGTGCTCCCGGCGACGCCTATCCTCGTACAAAATAAGATTGATAGCCATTCTATTGTATATTATAGTATTCTATGCCGTAGCGGAAACCAATATTCAGCAGTGGACTTGCAAACTTAAAGATCGCGAAATAGTTTTAATATTTCATTTAGAGATGTTTCAAATAATCACTGTAGAATTTATACGTATGTAAGTTGATACAAAGATATTTTACAGTTATTCAACTATTTCAGTAGCTTAAAACTTAAGTGTAAGTTCTTTAAAATTTTGGACAGTTTTCTAGGCATCAAATGAGTGAATCGAACTTAACCAATACTTACAGTAAGTACAGCAGTGAACCAAAACGTGGCTTGCGTGAGTGCAACAGTCAACGAACCCACGTACGGGCCGCCTATCACGTAGTTGTAGAAGTAGTCCAGCACGAAGTACGACACCAGCGAACCCCATATCGTGACGTGGTTGAAAACTGTCCAGTACGTCGTGTCGAGCGCGATCTGAAATAATTGTAATTGTTTTGACCTTTTTATCGTAACTAGCTTTAGCTTACAAGAACGAAAATTTCCTCACGTTGTTATGTGTAAGAGAAGTTACCGAAGAAGATTTTTTTTCATTGATTTCTAAAAATATTTTTGTGCGTTCGTGGACTTGGAAAAGTCTTATCGCAGTGCACAGGGATGCTTTATGACAAGCACTGAACTCATTTAGGTTGAGCGCTGCGTTGATACAGACATTAAAATTTCTTTATAGGAACTCTCGTGCTTGTATCAGAATCAACTAAGCCTACTCGGACCAGTAGTTACGTTGTACCAGTTCTGGCTAACTGAGTCAGAAGTGGTACACCGTAACTACTCGGACCGGTTTAGCATAAAAAAGGTGTGTAGCTAGTGTAGTTCTTCGTGATTGTTCAACCGGGGGGTGGGGGGGGGGGGGGGGGGGGGGGTTGGGGGCCGGGGGGGGGGGGGGGGGGGTGTGCCATGAGTGTGTTTGCCTCCTGGGGGGGTGTCATGTTTATGGACGGTTGTTTGGAAACTTTGAAAGTTAAAAAATGTGGGTAAAGAATATATATAACATAAAAAAACGCCGATGATTAAGTCATATTCTCGTCGTCGACGGCGGCGGCCGAGTTTGAAACAGAAACAGAAACTTTTTTATTGAATGTAGATTATAACAATACTTATTGAAAGTCACTTTTTTAATTTACCACTGGTTCGCAAAAAAAACCTCTGTCCTGGGAAGAACCAGCAAAAAACCCAGCGGGACTATTATTTTTCCAATAATAGCTTACAATCATGTTTATAATTAACAACACAAGACAAATTAGAAATAGCTTGGTAGCGATCACCCTTCCCAGGGGTTATTATCATCCATAAATTCCTTAATATTATAATAACCCTTTTTATACAAACTTAGTTTAATAACATTTTTGAACTTTGTGTATGACAAATTTTGTATTTTTTCTGGGATTTTGTTGTAAAAGCGTATACATCGCCCCAAGAATGAATTATTGACTCGGTGGAGTCGAGTAACTGGTACTACTAGCTTGTGTCAGCTTCTAGTATTTACAGAATGAATATCACTCCTTTAATTTTTTTTGTTTTTTTTCTTTTTGGTAAGAGTTCTAATCTTTTTTACAGCATATGCTGCGGAACTAAGTCTGCTAGCTAGTTTTGATATATGGGGGAGCCATTGAAGCTTTGCGTCCAGTGTGATTCCAAGAAAAATGGTGGTATCAACAAGATTCAGTTCCTCCCCATTTAAAATTACATTAGTATTGACATATTTAACATTAGGAGTGACGAATTTCATACATTTAGTTTTAGTTCCATTCAAATGCAAATTATTAACATTAAACCAATTGACTAACTTAGCTATAGCATTATTAACTTCGTCGTAATTTAACAACTGTCGTTTTAATTTGAAAATTAATGAAGTATCATCAGCAAATAATACTATATCATGGTTATCCCCTACTATGTAAGGTAAGTCATTAATATATACAAGAAACGGAAAGGGGCCAAGAATTGAGCCCTGAGGCACGCCCATTTGTACAATCGACCCGGAAGATCTCATACTATTGATGACAACTTTTTGCGTTCTGTCACTTAAATATGAAATAATTAATTTAAGAGCATCGCTTCTTACACCGTAGTGTTGAAGTTTCCTGATTAATGTTTTATGCTGAACACAATCGAAGCCTTTGGATAGGTCACAGAACACACTCAAAGCATCCTGTGAATTCTCCCATGCATTAAATATATATTTAATCAGCTCAACACCAGCATCAGTTGTCGAGCGACCCCTTGTGAAACCAAATTGATTTTTATGAAGTAAATTATTTACATTAAAAATTTTTTACATTTGAACAAGAATAATTTTTTCAAAAATTCTACTAAGAGTTGGCAGTACAGAAATAGGTCTAAAATTAGCGGGGTCCAATGTACTACCAGATTTAAATAAAGATATTACTTTACTATGCTTCATTAAATCAGGAAACACACCAGATTCGATACTAGTATTAAAAATAATAGATAGTTGAGGTGCGATTATATCTATTATAGACGCAATAACTTTAACGGAAATACCCCACAGATCGGTGGTTCTCTTAATATCAATAGTCTTAAAATATTTTACAATATCTTTTGATGACACTTTATGAAATGTAAAATTCTTTGTACACACATTCACATTTTGTTTAAGTAATGATTCGGCGACGGCAGGTGAAGAATTCAGTGACTTAGTGGTTAAGATCGGAATATCAGTAAAATATTTCTCAAAAACCATTGCAACATCCTGATCTGATTTTAGTTAATTTACTGTTAAAACTTAACTGGTAGTTTGAATTGCGAGAGTTGACCTTACCAGTTTCACTATTAATTATACTCCATGTCATTTTAATTTTATTAGAAGCAGTCTTTATTTTGTTGCTCAAGTGCAATGACTTGGCTAAGGAGCACACTCTTTTAAATATTTTGGAATATTTTTTTTTACATATTCCCTAAATTCGACGCTCGGATTATATGACCTTTCATTGTAAAGTTCATATAACCTTTGTCTACTCTTATGGACTCCTACTGTCGCCCATTCATTAAATGCCTTGCCGTTGTTCAAGGAGAATGTTTCAGAAGTAAAAGTATTATTAAATTCATTGCAAATGAGCTTAAATAATGTTCCATACAAAAATTTGGATTATTTTGGTATGAAAGTAATGGAAGTTTTTTTACGGTTATGTTACTTCTAAACTTCTCCAAGCGATGTGCATTTACTGGAACAAACACTACTTTTTTTATTATTTAATTTATCTACTTGCTTTTTGTGAACATAAGGTAATGAAACTAATTGTCCACAGTGATCAGAGCTCAATTTTTGAATTATACATTTATTGAACGGCTTAACATTTGTAAAAATGTTATCTATACATGTTGCACTAGATTCAGCAATACGTGTTGGTTCCAAAAATAAATTAAAAAGACCATAAGATTTAAACAATGAGCTGAATTTAATATCGGTGGAGGAAGCTTCTAGGAGATTGATATTAAAGTCTCCACATATTACAACAGTTTTATTCTGTTTATTAAGCTTAGCGAAAACTTCCTCCATAATTTTTTTCAAAAGTGTCATATAAAGAACATGGGGGTCTGTAAACGTTCACAACAATGAGGTGCTCCAACTCAACACATGCCATTTCTACAGTTCGCTCAACAGAGAGGCTCACAATATCTTTACGTTCTTTACATGATAATAATTTACTAGCTAAAATTAAGGAGCCACCTCTTAAAATCGTTTCTCTATTGAAAGAACTGACCACCTGGTGATTACTGAAGTTAAACATTAAATTATGAGCTTTCAACCAATGTTCAGTAATATATAAAATATGAATATTGTTGCTATTTAAGAACAATTAAATTTCTAGCTCTTTGCCTATCATGTCTTGTATATTCTGATGCACCAGGTACAAACAATTTTTATTATCATTTTGTGGAGTTATACAACTGCAATTATTAAGGATTTGTAAGCTACATTCTAAATTATTTAAATTATTATAACTTCTAGAGATTACCTCTATTGTCTCATTTTCTAATTTAAATTACTTGGAACAGATTCCAAATTGCATGTCAAATCATAATGCTGCTCAATAGGAGCAGATGTCTGGGTAGCCAAGTCCTTGACTGAGTTAATGTATAAATAATAAGATAGCACATTTGCTATCTGTCTTAAATTATATTTGGATAGGTAATACCTATCTGTAGTCAAAAATTTCTTAGTTAAATTATTAATATCTATTAAATTATTTCGATTTGTAAAATCGTTACAATTAAATGTCAAATTAAAATATATTGTTACAGGAAAAATTGCAATGTAAACAAGATAATTTTATGTACATTTAAAGTATTGAGGTAATCAATATATTTTAATAATTGATTTTTGTTTACATTGCATCTTCTCCCAACAAGAATTATTAATGTGCTATTAGGACAAAACTTACTGGTTAAAACTTTATTCATTATATGACTAAAGGATGCTCCAGGCATACAATAATTACTAATCAATTGTCCTTTTAAATGGTTATTTAACATCATGCCCAAATTTTTACCTATGTCATCACAATACATAATAACTTAATGTTTTTTAATATTTAAACTACTTTTTAAGTTTTTATTCTTTGTTATGGCACCGTCAGAGTGTTGGTGAAAATAAGGAGTCATTGCTATTTACACGTATTGTCCCCGATGAACATGGTATGGAGCGTTGATTCTCACTCTGATGTTTTATTAAGGAGTCAAAGCGCTCCTCATTGTATTTACATGACTTTACCAGATCATTCATGACCAATATGTGTTCTTTTATCTCAATCTGAGCCGATGCATATTTATTTGAGATAATTTGTAAGGAGTTTTTAAGCGACAAAGCTTCTGAGTTGAGGCACTCTATTTCAGTCTCATAACAGTTTTTCATGTTTTCCATCTCAATTAAATATAATTTAAGTTTATTAATTAATTCATGCTTGTAAGGAAACATATATTTATATAAGTTTTTGTGTTAATTTTTGTTAATTTTTTTTATTTAATTAACTTTTGTACTTTCCTAACATATTTATAAATTTTTATATATATCTTTAATTTTCTTCTACTGCATGTAATCCTTTCTGCTGTTCTTGATGTGACAAAATCATCACCAGTCAAATCGATTGTTGTGGAGGGTTGCAATGTTTTTGAAGATTTACATTCTATGAGCTCATTGAACAGACTTTTAGTTTAGGACACTTTCAATTCATCTAAGAATTGTTTTAATGGCACAAATCTGCTCATTAGCCTCACTTAATTGCAACTGCAATGCAGCAATTAATCTGAGGGATTCCTCATATTCTTTGCTGCATCGGTCAAACTCATCGACTGTTCCCTGAAGCTGATCCCTTTATTTTAATACATTTGTATAGTCTTTATGCAACTTAACCATATCACTTTTTAGTTTACTATTTTTGGCAATTATATTTATTATTTCCTTTTCGTTGTCATCCCTTTCTTTAAGCAACAGCTCACACTGCTCCTTTGACGCCTTAAGTTCTAGAAGCGCCATTTGAAGTTGGTTCTCCATTTGGCGCGTTTTGGCGTTGCGTGTATTCATTTTACTATTATTATGTGTAAATAGCAAAAGAAAACAAAGAAAGAAAACCGAAGAAACAGAGTAAGCTAATATCTAGATCTCTGGGTCAACTTACAGATCTCAAATTAAATTATCAGGTCAATAATTTAAATTGAAATCCGAAATAGCACTAATTTAAAAGGTAAATCTTAAAATATTAAGAGCGCATATTCAAATATGTCCAAGTCGAAATCTACGCGATCGCTTTGGAACGGCGTAATATTGACGCACACTACAATGTTATCTCTGTGTGCGTGTCAGTGCGAGCGTGAGGCTATAATAGTTGCCTAACGACGACTACGAATCACTTTGATCGTTGATTATATACCTGTCTTTGATACTATTGGAACTAAAATAATAAAAAAATAATTTCCATATAATGGCTTATATAGTGTATAGAAATCGGAGGCTAATATGTGGAAATTGTTTTATTCTTTTAGTAAATTGAAGTCGGCTTTACATTTTCACCCTATTGAGTATATTATAATATGTGTATATGTTCTAATTGAAAAATATGTATTGTATAAAATATATATCATTTGGTAAACTTTTATTGTTTCATAATGTAAACATAATTCATCAGACTAACAATTTCATTAGTGTCGGCGGGATTAGTGTTGCCAGGTCTAGCAAGTAAAATTTCGGGACGGAAGGTAAAAATAATCGAGGATTTGGTTTTCATATCCGGACAACTAGAATAACTACAAAATATAGGTTTCTTTGTAGCCTTTTGTGCTTTATTGAGAGCCGTGGTAGCTCAGATTATCAACGCTAACTGTAAATATCACAGTATGTGAGTAATGCGAGAAATTGTGACTGTAACTTTATTTTTATGCTTTATAATTATTATCCGGGTCTGATCTCATAAACGAATAAGTTTTCATCCAAACATCGTAAAAACTGAATTTTTTTTCATTTTAGGCAAATTAAAACATTTTTGAACTATTTGTTATTTTTTTGCAGTCCCTGAATTTTTCAAATCACTCATTTTAATATAATTCTGTTTAAAACTTTTGTGGTTTTTTTCGACTGGTGAGACAATGTCGTAGTAAAAATATTTTAATGTGGTAGTAGCTAACAGATATAATAATTTTTGCTGTCAAAATTATGGATTAAGTATAGAATAACAAGGTTAGTGAAAATCGCGACATTTGGCGTCCCGATCAAGGGTGAATCGGGACGTGTCACTAGACCCTTGAAAATCGGGACGTCCCGCGCAAATCGGGACACCTGGCAACACTAGCGGGGATCGAGCCCGGATTGTTCGCGTTTACGGCGAGTACTACGCCCTTGAGGTACTCAACTCAAGCACGGCTCATATGTTTTATATCTGGGGGCACGGTAGTGCCCCGCCATGTCGACCAAAACAGCGGCACGGCCGTATCATCATTGCGAGACTTGGTTATTTTACAAGTTATGTTTTTGATGGCATGTCTTTGTTTAATCATAACGTTATCTCCACACTAGGAATTTTTCCTAAGTACATCTTTGGGGCAGTTGAAATACATTAATTTCACAAGGACAAACATCCATACCTAGAACAATTATTTGTAGGTAATACAAATTTTTGTTCCATGTGGGATTCGAACCTGCGGCGCTCAGCGCTACAACTCATTACCAAGTCACTCCGCTACGGAGCCAAAGGTGAAAGCCAACGATTTTGTATTTTTACTTGATCCGAATTGCTTACGTTCATTACTCATTTCTAAAAAAATATATATGAAATGAAAATTTGCCACCATTACATCATTTAATATTTCAAAATTACTTACTACCAAAAATATCGCTTATAAAAGTCTGAATCGTTTAAAATGCTCGATGGTGCTATAGGTATCTAGTTATAGTATGGTGTAGTATAGCCCTATCGGTGTATCAACGCGATCGCGCGGTGTCGGTGAGAAAAAGTACACGTCCTGTCGTTGGGATTACCCGGAGCGTACTGAATCGAACGGCGTCTGCACATGATGTTTTATAGTATTTTTAAAATAATTATATAAAATAATTGACAAAATAAAACGAGCTAAAAATTTTATTGGATATTTAACATTACATGTATTTTGATAAAATAATTAAAATAGATATGTTTATAAGCAAATACATGGAAAAAATTACATTGAAGTAGACAGTTTTGGTGATTTTATAATATTATTTTATAATATTAAATCGTTATATTTTCGTAATTTAGGTTTTGCTATACACTAAAAGACTATATATTCCATTATAATAACGCTTAAAATAAAGTATTTTAGCTTATAATAATGGTTGTATTCAACCTGAAAGATAACTCTGATGCATATTTTCGTAAAACACTGTGAAGGGATTGTCTTCGCCCTAAAAACCGTCATTAAAAACTATGATTTTGCATTGCTATGTACTAAATAAAGACTTCATCTTTCTAAAGCCCTAATTTTCAGCAAATAATCTCCTCACGTCGTTACGATATCGTCTTTGGAAAAACCATAAAACATGTAGTTTTCGACGCGAAACGCATATGTCCTCTTAAAGGGATAACAAGAATTACAATAACTTACAGAAAGTTCAAACGATGATCGTTACAGCTGTCACTTTTAGTTGAAACACAAAACACTATTTTATTAAAGAAATTGTGTGATAAGAGTAGTGTTGTGAACAGGATTAAGAAAGCAATGGTAGCTTACCTGCGTAGTGTTGTCAATGATTAAAATAGTTGCGACGACGCTTCCCAGCAACATGTGATCCGATAAAATCTTGCCGTCGGGTGCCAATCCGTCCTTGTAAGTACCTGAAATTGATTTCATGCCATTTAACACTCCTCCACTCTCTCCGTTTAACAATCCTGCGATTGTTGCAACAGTCAATATTTAAACTTTTCTTTAAATGTCAACTTTTGTTTTATTTATTCTTTTTTTTTTCTCTATATTGCTGCACCTACGCCAAAGTCTCGCCATTCCATGGGTCACCTGTTCGAAAATGCCTAGTGACATTAAGTCCGCCCGTATTTTATTTATTTAACTTGATATACACATTAAATGTATATAGGCGGACTTAATGCCCGAAGCATTATCTACCAACCTTAGAGTAGTGCAGAGATAAAAGCGTAAAGAAAAAGAATTTAGTTATAGCGAATGCAATAAAAAATAAATAAATTTTCCCTAAGGCTGTGTTGACAGTGTTAACACTTATACTGAAATGCAAATTTTCAATCATAAGCTGCAAAACGCCGTTTCTTGTATCTCCATTTTTGAATTCTACAGAGAAAAAGAGATTCTTTTAGAAGAATCAATTAGAAGACACATATTGTTCGATTCTTAATATAACATAGCTTCACATACCTACACTGTAAAACAAAGAAACTAGATATATTATTATTTATGTCCATTTCAACATCTTTTCTTTAACTATCTGACACATCAGTGATATCTTGACCGAATCTCTTTGTACACTTACCGTAAGGTATAAGAAACAGCACGAGTGAGGTGAAACATCCGTGCAAGGTAGACTTGATGAACTCAGTCTTGTTGAAGAGTTGGCTGGTGTGTCCCGGGACGTAGAGTTTCGGGAACTGCAGCGAGGTGGCGTCCGATACGTCTTGCTCGAACACACCCAATGCAAGCACGGGCAGCGACGTGTAGAACAAGTTGTATACAGAGATAAACATCTCGTCGAACACGGTCTAGAAAATATAAGGTTTAAAATAATTTTTTTTATAGAATTAGGGTGACAAACGAGCACACAGTCCACTTGAAGATAAATGGCTGCCATGGCAATAGACATCTTTAAAGAAACGTTTGACGCCTTTAAAACTATATATAAAGATTGAATATTATGTGCACATGTTCGTCATCATCATCATCCTTACAGCCCTTCACAAGTCCACTGATAAACTTAGGCCTCCACTGAGGAGTACCATAAAACATGAGGAGTACCATAAAACATGAGGAGTGTGGCCGGTGAGGAAGGAAAATGGGAGATCTCCCGCCGGGCAAGGTGTTCTGCCCGGGGAGCGGCTCACACTCCGTGTGATAATTCGGAGATGTTCTATATATACTGTTTATGATTCGAAATGTTGATAGCGCGATTTAGGCTTCGGTGTGTTTTCGCTTGTGGCGGCGACGACAGCGCCGCTACATCACCCCTGCTCAGACCGGAGGTCGATAGTGCAGTCGAGTTGTCGACGAATGTGCAAGTGCCAGTGGATTGCCTTGTAGTCTGCGGTGAGTCGAGAAGAAGGCAAGTAATCTGCGAGAGTGCCGTGAGGCAGAGGCGAGCAGTAAGGCTCAGAGCCGTGCTGAACACTGTAGCGCAGAGAGTAGCTTGAAGGAACAGGAAGCATTATTATTCCAGTGCTGCGATGAACCTTGTGAAGCTAGATGGCTTGCAGGATATGAAGACTGCAGACGATATCTACTCGGGAGCGAATGGGTGGGGTATTCTATGACGATGACGAAGCTTGAAGTTTCCGAAGGTTATTTGGTTGCGTGTTCAGATCACGTCGGATGGTCACCACTGTGGCCGGTGAGGAAGGAAAATGGGAGATCTCCCGCCGGGCAAGGTGTTCTGCCCGGGGAGCGGCCAACACTCCGTGTGATAGTTCTATATATACTGTTTCGGAGATGTTCTATATATACCGTTTATGATTCGAAATGTTGATAGCGCGATTTAGGCTTCGGTGTGTTTTCGCTTGTGGCGGCGACGACAGCGCCGCTACAGGAGTGTCACAAAACATGAGGTGTCCCATAAAACATGATCCTGAGCCACCTTTATCCATTGATTTCCTGAATGTCTTACTAGGTCTTCACACCATTTTTTAAGGAGCAGTCCTACACTTCGCTTTCCCATACTAGGCTGAACTGGAGTACCTTTCTTCCCCATCTGTTGTCAGTTTTTTGAGCCATATGCCTGGTCTATTACCACTTTAGCTTACTAAACTTTGTTAACTCTGCTGCTACTGCAGATATCATCGTTACGCAGTCTGTCCCACAAAGAAATTATCAAAATAACCCTCTCCTTAACTCAATTAGCGACCTTAAACTTCCTCACACAGCCAGTTGAAGGCACATGTCTCAAATCCATATGTTATGACTGGCATCACACACTGGTGCAAAAATTGTGTTATTTTTGAGGAAGAAATACGTGATTAAAAAAAAGTTACTACCTATATACGTCACACTGTTTAGCACAGGTTCCCTCTCACTTTTACAAAAAACTTTTTTACTATTAAAAATGTTCTTTCTAAAATGTAAATCCAAACGCCAGTGACGTCACTGGCGTTTACTAAAACGATATTCGATTCGATTTGATATTAGTCATTATATCGTTTTAGTAACGCCACCGCATGGTGAAATGATAAAACACTCATGTTTACGTTTTCAAAATTAAAAAAAACGTCATTGCATAATACAGGTTAAATATGTTTTACGACACATGGTGATCCAAATATAGAAAATGCAAAAGTACAACATGATTTGCGCACAGCCTCAACAAATATAATGACGTCATAACCAATCACAAGTCATGTTTTTTCATTCAAAAATTTAACTATTTTTAATTAAAATTACTAAATAAATTGAATTTATTAGGCATCGCAGAACTCACATAGGAGCAAAAATATGGTCAGTCAATCATAGTCAGAATAGGTACTTCACCTAAGTAACTTATATAATTAACATTTCTCAATGTATTTTTTTAATCTTTATTGACATCCCTTAGTAACCACGGAAAGTCCGCCGTGACTTAGGAAGGGAAAAAGATGCAAAGTAATATGGACACTCGTGCACAGCGATAAAGTTTTATTTAGCTGGCATGCGCGACTTATTTATTTAATAATAATTATGTAAGCTATCAAACGTCGGCAAGCAGTCAACATCAAAGGAGTGTAACCTTTTTACGTATTACTATTATTTATTCTGTGGCTAAACCAAGACTTAAGGACGATGGTGGAAGATAAAAATGCACAGAACGCGTAGGTTAGTCTGTTTTTGTTGAGCTCATGAGCACTGAATAAATTTTAGTATAACCATTTGACGCCAAAATTACCGCGGCAATAAATAGTCTATTGCGTACCGTCATGTGCCATATTGATTGACATTGCAAAATTATGACCATAAATCGTGGTTACACCTAGGTGTTGTTCTAATTACGGCCATGATTATTGTCACACCACGGTAGTTTCGCCGTAGCATCACAGTACTACATCTTTGATGATCGTCGTCACCGATCTGAGTGTTTTACATTTGGTATACCTATACGAAACCCTTTCAAAAATGAGGGGAGGCCTGTGCCCAGCAGTGGGACGTATATAGGCTGTAACTTATACCAATACGAGAAGGTTATACCGATCTGTATCTTGTTAAAGCAGTGGCATGCCGTTCTTGAGTTTTAAAAAGTGCTTTTTTTTAAATTTTGACTGCGACTTGACTTGTACGGATGCCATCGGATTCTTCCGGCATTTCCTATAGTCACTTTTTAAAACAAATATGGGCCGGAAAAGGATGATGAATTTTCTTACAATGTCACTCAAGTTGTAAAAGCCGGCTGAAGAGTCAATCTGAAGAACCTAATCTACTACATAGTATAAAACAAAGTTGCTTTTTCTGTCCCTATATCCCTATGTACGCTTAAATCTTTAAAACTACGGAACGGATTTTTGATACGGTTTTTTTAATAGATAGAGTGATTCAAGAGGAAGGTTTATGTGTATAATAACATCCATTAAATAGCGAGAAATACTGTTATTTTTGAGGTTTTTAATGTGATGTCGTAAACAATTTCATTTTTTCCGCTTATACATTGCAAACGCAGGCTGAACCCTACAAGATTTCAATTTTCAAAATAATGTACTAAGTATTGTACGCATTAAAAACGTCTACAGAAAACTCCGCGACGGTATATGTTTATCTCTTATGGATATCCCACATTATACATAACATTTTTTTGTCATTTACTTTTTGCGACAAATAATGGCTAATTTTCGAAGTGATTTTAACCAATATAGCATTAACCCTTATCCAATTAAATACCTTAAATATATTGTTGATTTAATATAGATCTATATGGCCCTCTACAGTATATGATTTAAATGAATATTTTCGAAGATATTACAGATTTAAAAATTGCGGGACTTAGCGTTTGCGGTGGTACCGGCCGGACGGGGCGCCTATAAATAGCGTATCGGAGGCCGCGCACTTTGAATTTAGCAGCAATCGGACGCGTTTATTATATAGGAGAAAAATAACAATACTTAATAAAAACGTGATTTTCAGCGCGACAACGTATCAGTAGGTAATATATATATAAGTAAGTTACGATAAATAACGCGTGCAGGCCAAGAGCAATAATGAATTAATCAAAACTACTGGATCGATTTTAATCATTTTTTCAGTGAGTGACATAGGCTATATATTTTATACCCGTGCAAAACCGGAGCGGGCCGCTATGTTTTTATATACAATGTTTACAGTTTTTCTGTAGTGTATTTAGTATCAGCATTGCACCCGAGCGAAGCCGGGGCGGGTCGCTAGTTACAAATAAATGAATTTTTTAATGGGGGCATGTAGCTTGTTTTTTAGTAGGATACTCTTCACACATTACTCACCTGCGCACTGAAGCCACAGAAGAACGCGAACCAGAAGTGACAGACGGTGAACGCGAAGTTCTTATAAAAGAAATACCGCAGGAACTTGCACATTCTGTAGTACGACCAGCGTCCGTGCACTAGAAGTAGCCTCTGGAGGAACCGGAACTGCGCTATCGAATAATCCGATGCTAATACTGCTTGCATGCCTTCCTGCCCTGAAATACCCACTCCTATGTGCGCCGCTGTAATTAAAAATAGTACTTATGACACACAAGTTAAAGACTTATTTTGAGTGTTAATCGTTTTTAGACTAATAAATAATAAATATAATTTTGATAACTATAACAATGCCCAATGAAAATACTTTGTCTTATTCATGTTATGTTTGTATAAAATTAAAGTACATGGATGCCTGCAACCAATTTAAAACAAAGAAGGCTATGCCGGTAATTATACTTGTTCTCCATTATCTTTAGACTGGAACACAGCAGTCTGGTAGTCCGTCTCGAAAGGTCTGGGCGCATGCCCACTACCAGGTACCACTGACTACCAGGTACAAAATAACTCTAACAACTAGAAAAGCTTTGTTATCATATTGTGTTTATATTTCACTAATTTAAAAAAAACGGACAGTTCCTCATCCAGAAAAACCACCGATTATAAATCTTTAGAATTAACGCACTGAATATGCGCGACGGCCCAAATTTTGAGCAATAAGTAGTTTGAGGTCTAACATAAATGGCATAAATTGGATTTTGAGTGCGTTTACGCACTGCTTCCACGATCCACATACGAGTAGAAATAAATTTAGAAAACTCGGATCGAATCCGAAAGTCGAACGCGGTACACCAATCAATCAAGCTGAGAACGGAAGAAGATAGATGTTGAAGTCTACAGTCTACAGTAACCACTTATAATTACTACCATCAGGTGAACTGTATGCTCGTTTATCACCCTTATTCTATAACAATTACACTTACTACTGCGTGTAGTGGTGGCGTAAAATAATCCAGTACTAGTGTCGTAAGATACAATAAATAACTATATTGTAAAAATCTACGTTGCCCACCTCACTATATATCTCCTCTATGAGTGAGGCAATCTTATTTGTTCAGCAGTGGACTTGTGATAGATTTTAATGAATGAATGAATGAGTGAGTTCAAGCAACCGGTCTGAATTCGAGAAAATAACTGTTTTTGCTAGTAAACTTGACGAGATTTAAAAGTTTTGGATATTCTTTTCGTCATTGCCAACAGAATGGCACTCACGTCATTATGTGCCTTCTCACTCGTGGTCTACTTTTGGCTTTATTGTAAGGATGAAGACGCAGGAGAAATAAAGAATAAGACCACCATTCGTATGATGGCTAAGATTAGATTCGAAAAAAGTGAACCAGCGTTAATACAAATATTACAATAGAATAAGAGATATTCTCGACTTCGTAAAACGAAATTCGGATGTAAGCACTACCCTTCATAAAAATAATTCTACGCCTACTTTAGATTAATATTTCTCAGATTCGGTTTGGATGTAGTGCGTAAAAGCTGTAAGAAGTATAAATAATTGACCATATAAGAATTTACTTAAAAAAAGGAACGTTCATCATCGATACATTTTATTGCAATATTGTTACCTTTAATCATCGAGACGTCATTCGCACCGTCGCCAATCGCCAGCGTTACAGCCTTTCGACTTTTCTTTATAAGTTCCACCACCATTGCCTTCTGTAGCGGTGTCACTCGGCAACAGATCACGGAACGACATTGCAACACCACATCCAGAAATCTACAGGCAAACGAAGGATACAAGTATCGATTACGAGGTAACCAAAGCAAACCTCAGTGATACTGCTCAAGAAAACTCATGTTAGATATTTACTTTAACCTTTTATCTTAAAATTTGTTTTTTAAAACTTATAATTTATCGAATATATTTTTCTAGAAGTAAAGGTGTAAAACCAGCACACAATTTATCTGATGGTAAGTAAACGCTGTGGTCAGTAGACACATACATCGATCTTCAATTAGGAATCAAATTGCAGATGTTGTCACCCTTCGTTTGACACAACTGGTCACTTCGCCTACGCGGATTCAAGATGTAAGAAAGATCTTATTATACATTTCCTGTTGGACCTTCTGCTGACCTCTTATCCGGATGGATATCAGGTTTCCGACGACACCCTTCTCGGCTCTTCGGATCATTGTCTGATCCGGAGTGTGATGCCATTCACGCTCCTTTCGCGGTTATGTTCCACAGGTTGCGACAGTGTTTGGCATTACAGGTCAGCGGTCGGTGGGACTGAATGCGGTCTTTCTTTGCATTCTGCCTTTTGCTTCTCGCCGGGTGATCCCAACGCTGTTGCTAACTCTGTCACTGATGCGGTGCAACAGGGAATGGCATTATTTATTCCATCATCTGTGGTACCCATCGGAGGCAGATCTCAACCTTGGTTTGATCGCTCCTGTAAGACTGCATTACGTAATAAGCAGGAATAGTATCAGGCCTCGGCTGACGCTTCGGCAGCTCGGCATGTATACATCAGCAAGCTTAAAAAGAAGTATAACCTCGACTCTAGGTCATTGAAAAGAGTTATTGCCAAGGCAAAATATAAGCGCATTGGCACCACAGAGGACGGAATAAAAAGTTCCATACCCTGAAGTACCACATCAGCGACAGAATCAGCAACAACGCTAGGATCGTCCGGCGAGAAGCAAACCAGCTCCCAAGGGTAGGATGTAAAAAAAGACCGCATCCCATCCCAATCGGCCGAACTTCTACTACAATTTTTTATAGCCAGTTTTACATATCATAATGTTTCACCGATCTCTCAAACGTTACTCGAGGTAAAATATGTAGAGTGGTTCTATGAGCGAGGTATACTAACTTCTCCTCGAGCTTGGGATGCAGGCAGTGTACCAGCGAGTGTCCGTTGACGACGATGGCAAACCCGTTGGCGTCGTCGCTGCCGTGCTCTTGCGTCTCTGTCGAGCAGGTGCCGCCCGCGCTGTATTCGTTGCTGTGAACACAAGTTTCGCTGACTTCCTCTAACCAACTATTTTTACAAATGACGAACTGGCCTCTGATTATTAGCTAATGAGTTTATGGTTATCGATAAATGACGGTTTATTTATAATAAATCATTTTCACACATGATATATGGTCGTAAACAAGTGCGAGGTTTAAGACGCTGCGATCGGAAATGAGACAAAGATTCATGTCCAGCGTAGGACTGTAAGGCTGTTCTTTCAGTATAGTAAAAAAGAACACCCTATAGAGTCGAAGTTATAGCAAATAGAGTGAATTCATCAAACTGAGCAACAAATGGACTCATAGACAGAAAAGCACTTTACTGCCATGTCCTCTTATATTTGACGCTATGTCTAAATACGATTCCCATTGAATATATCCAATCTGATATAACACGAAAGCTTTATATCTGATGGGAGTAGGAAAGAACAAATAAACATGTATTTGTGCGTACATTTGAGGCACTATAATATAATACATTCAGTTCAGTTGTGAGATTTACAAGTATTCAAGAATAATTGTCGCTGTCGTCGCCATCCAAATTGGTTGGAGATGAAAAATAATAAAAAACAATACATTGATACTGATTATATTAGTCATATATGAAAATGTGAAAAGCAAATAAGGAAATGTGAAATAAGAATTACAAATTACTTAACGAATAGGTGCAGACAAAAGTTTTTGTGATCATTGTTACAAAGATGTGTAAATTAATTAGCTAAGATCCGTTTGAAAAATAATTTATCAAGTTTGAAGAAAATCGTTGTTTACACAATTGACAGGGACGGTCGTGTTATAAGTTAGTACGTCTATCTATCAAACTTAGAATTTGTATAACATATGTTCTTAAAGTTAAGTGTATCGAAAGTGTTATCTATATCCTAAATGATTCTTGACAAAGTACCTATTGAAATCTTATTACAATATTATTTTATGAATCAATCAAAACAAGATAATACAGCTATGACAAATCCCACGCAAATAATAACTTCCGCGACTATAAAATAGATTTGTAAGTCGTTAGTCTAAGGTTGGGTTCGTCATACATTTCTTTTGACAAATGTAGATAATATTTGAAGTAAAAACGGCGCGCAATCGAAAACGACACTCCGTCACGGACGCATGAAAGAACTTTTATAATTTAGCAGACTTCTATGTATCTAGTATCTACACCGACAATTCATAACAACAATTTGAATGAGCCATTCAATGACAGATTAATAAATTATAACCCTAACGATATATGTTTAAAAATAATCTACATTTAAACACAATATGATGGACACCACAAAACAAACAAGCAGTACAATACAAGACAATAGAATGAGACAAATTTGTTCATTCCTAGCGCAAGCTTACAGCACTTGTTGGAAGAAGGAAATGGACATCACAGAGCAAAAGTAAGGCTGGGCGCACAGAGTTAACAACTTTATGGAGATCCATTATATTAAAGAAGTCAAAATTAGTTAGCTAAGATACGCTTGAAAAATACTGTACTAGGAAAGATCATTCCAGGGTCCAGTTCTCCAATTGCTGCCCCATTTAGAGGCGAAAAAAGTGTCGATGGTAGTGTGTCTTGCAGAGGGAGCGATGTTGAGATTATTGATGATGGAGACAGTGCTCTTCTAAATAGGTAAGAAACATCATTTTTATTTTTAACGTGGATCTTAGTTAACTATTTTAACGTGTTAAATTCTTTGAACATAGACACAGAAATTATATGAACATGCAATGTGTGTGTTAGCTAGGCCATTTGCAGCCATTTTTTGTAATCCAGAAATTATTAGAGGAGCCTAGAATTCTGATAGAGTAATAGAATAATCAGTCTGCCACACTTCTCCAGCGTGTGTTGGACAACTTCACATGTGTCGAATTTTTTTTTCTCTCAGACATACAGGTATTTACGATGTCGTCCTTCGCTGCCGAACAAGTGGTCAACATGCGCTTAAAATTTCAAATAGTAACAAATTCATAGATGTAAGCGGGAATCAAATTCCGCGCTTAGCCCCTGAAATACCATGGCTCTATATAATCTTTCTTTTCCGAAGGTATTAATATATAATTTAACAACAATGATGTAAACATTTTTGTAACGCAAGTAATTTGAGACAATTATATTTAATTTCATTTTTTGCCTCAAAACATAATTAACATTAAAATATCTTTTTTCTTAAGTTTTTCTTTTCTTTTAAAGTTACTGCTCAATATACATAGATATATCCAAAATATTTTGTAAGCATGTACACTGGATGACCTTTTTACCGTCTGGAAAAAAATAGGCTGTAACGTGTGAACAGAGTAGAAGCCAATGGCACTGATATTTTACAAAAAATAAAAACAAAAATTTTGAATCGAGTAGATATTAATTAAAATCTATCGAAATTCAAATCGTATCCATCCTACTTTACGAAGAGCAATAAAACAATACATTTAGGGTATGTTCCGAAATACAACGCAGTGTACTGTCCAATGCAAATGACGTATCATTTGACACTTTATTGTACTAGCGTGCCGCCGCCATATTGTGTCGGATATCCGGCCATAATAAACAATTTTTAATTGTGTTTTTGCCGAATGAAGCATGCCAGAATTTGTTTCTATTTATTCAAATACAAAAAAATATACAATAATTGATGGTATATCCATTAGGAGGATATAATGATTTTTGGAGCACAAAATGACAAAATAATCGCCAACACTTTTCCAAATGGCGCAAAAGTATGACGTCATATACTGTCCAATGTTTTGGAACGAATCACCAGTATAGCGTCGATTCATGACGTCATTTGCATTGGACAGTACACTGCGTTGTATTTCGGAACATACCCTTAGTAAGCATTTTTGACCTTGTCACTTCGCTGGGCACAGGCTAGGGTGGATATGATTTGAATTTCGATAGATTTTTATTTATTTATTTATTTAATTCAAAATTTTTGTTTTTATTTTTTGGAAAATATCAGTGCTTTTACTCCGTTCACATGTTACACCCTATTTTTTCCATACGGTGAAAAAGATCAACCAGTATAATATGGTTGTTATTTTATTATTATTATATTACGAAAATTGATTTCATTACCTATACTTATGCTTTTTAATTTTTATCTATATTATAACTTAAGCCGGATAATTTTAAAATCTAGAACATAATGATTTCTTATATTTACGCGAACACTACACATTGATTAAAACTACTTTTACGGATTTTATCGCGTTTTATTTGTTTTATTTTTAATACCCGACGTTTCATTTTCCATTCAGTTCAGTTTCAGTTCAGTTGATTTTACCATCAGACAAAGTAACTACATTTTTAGAACATTTTAATTCCATAAACTCTAACCCATATGTGCTCACCGCCCCATTTTTAAAACGGCACGTTATTTATTATCTGTGGCAACCTAAAACTGTGGTATGATTTTTGAATGGTACTGTTCGCTTTGTTTACACTTTACCATCATAAAAGTGACGTTTTTCAAAGTGTTGGCGCCATTTTTTCTTTAACTTTTGGAAAAATAAAAAGTGCAAGTGTGGTGTTTACGATGGCGAGAAGTAAAAAGTAAGTTTATTATTATTTTTCCATAAGTAAAACTGTGTAAAGCAGTTTGTTATATGTATTAGTTTACACTTGGTCAGTTTTGTGATAAAAATCGATTCTTTCTGTTGAGATTTAGTTTTTTAGAGGCATTATTTATAGCGCCCCATTATTAGGGCGCTGGTCGCGTACTTGCATGCTGATTTCAAATTTCATAGTATATGCGTTATATTTTATTTACATTGTTTATAGCTACTGTATTGGAACTTTATATGTTATATTTTTATATTTATTTTGTTGTTTTAGGTTGAGTTTGGCAGAAATTATTGACATATTAGAGACGGAAGATGACATTGTTGAGAGCACTATCTACACATGCCCGCCTAGCAACCATATGTTGAGTGACTGCGATAGTGACGAGGAAGATGCGCTTGTAGGTGATATCAATCACCTGACAGGCAACCAACTACGAGCCGAGGCGCAGCTTGAATGTGTGCGCAAATCGGGTCCACTATTACAAACAGAATTTATAGGATTGGAGTCGAGTGATGACGACAACGTACCCCTACCGGAGATCGCATCCACTTCTGCGCCAAAAAGAAAAAAGATCATAGAAAAAAGAAAGTGGAAAAAATCAGATTTACCCGAATATCAAAGAAGGGAATGCCATCGTCCCGAGTTTGTAGACACTAATAGGTCGCCTACTGAATTTTTTGAATTATTTTACGATGACGACGTTGTGAATTTGTTTGTAGAAAATTCAAGAAGGTATGCGGTTTTCGAAGGTAAACATTTTGATGTTACCAAAGAAGAAATTCGCCTCGTCTTAGCAATACTTTTGCTAAGTGGATATAACGTTCAAGCAAGGAACCGCATGTACTGGGATACTGGAATCGATACCTATCACCCTGGCGGAACTAATGCAAAATCTCGATCTCGATTTGAACAAATACTTCGATTTATGCACGTTTCCGATAACGCAGCTTTAGATGTCCAGGACAAGTTCACAAAAGTGCGACCTTTATGGGAGAAACTAAACGAAAAATGGATTAAGTATTGGCCTCAGTATAACGAAGTTAGCATCGACGAATCAATGATTCCGTACTACGGCCATCATAGTACAAAACAGCACATTCATGGAAAACCCATTCGTTTCGGATTCAAATGCTGGTGCATGGCTGCACGGCTGGGATATCTTATACAAGCCATACCTTATCAAGGGGCTAGCACAGGCAACACTAATCCCGATTTAGGTGTTGGAGGATCTGTCGTTACGAATTTGGTAGCCAAATTGCCTACAGATTTCCCAGTTCATATTTACATAGACAATTTTTTTACATCGTTTAGATTGCTCATCGCTTAGAAAGATATTGGTCACCAGGGGACAGGAACAATACGGGCCAATAGGGTCGAATATGCGCCTCTGGGATCAATCGCTGACATAAAGAAAAAACAGCGTGGGAGCTATGATCAAATCATCGATGAAACATCAGGCGTGCTCTAGTGCGATACAACGGCAATAACGTTGTTACCGTAGCTTCTACCTGTGAAGGTGTTTCTCCAGTTGGATCCGCACAGCGATGGTCAAGTGCTGAAAGAAAAAAAATCTCGATTCAACAGCCCTTTTGTGTTCAAATGTATAATCAATATATGGGCGGAGTAGATCGTCTACATCAAAACATAGGCTGCTACCGCATTAGCATAAATAAAAAAATGGTATTGGCAACTTCTGATGTGGCCCTTGAACGCTTCAATGAATAACGCTTTTCAGTTGTACAGGCTCTCACCAGCTGGGCAAGAGAAAGGGCATCTTGATTTCCTAGCCTTTATCAGGTCTGTGGTTACAACTTATCTACGAAGATATGCGTCGGCTCGCTCTTTAGGCCGTCCTATGAAGTCGTCTAGGGAAAGGAGGGTGCCACATGATGTACGTCTAGATAGGGCTGACCATTTAATTATTTCTAGTGCAACTCAGATACGTTGTGCCGAATGCCATAAAAATACTATAAAAATATGCCGAAAATGTGATGTCGGCCGTCATACTAATTGTTTTGAAATTTTCAATTCCTAAATATATGATAAATACCGATAGAATAAGCACTATTATATAATAAATATTCTTTGAATATAATAAAAATTTCTTTACAACCTCTATAATAGTTATTATATTAATATTACTCTTTAAATTAATTAAAATTGAAAAATTTGAGGAGTTGTTATGAACGTGGTCTACCGTGCTCAGCACCCCAAAATTGGGGCGGTGAAAATGTCCAAAACGGTTTATTTTTTATTATTTAATTTTCAGAAAACCTTATTTTTACGCTAATTGGACTTGGAATAAAACAAAAAAATACCAGCTTTTACGGGAAAAAAAAGTTGAGCACATACAGGCTAAAATTCAATTTACTATGGAGTTAGAGGCAAATAATTCCTTAGCTTTCCTAGATGTGTTAGTCATCCGAAATCCTAACAACACTATAGGTCATACTGTGTATAGAAAAAAGACCCATACAAACCGATACTTAAATGGTGAATCTCACCATCATCCTTCACAGTTAGCTACCGTGGGCAAATCTTTGTTTCAGAGAGCACGAGGGATCTGTGACAGCAAACACCTGGCCGCCGAGCTTCAGCACGTCAAGCAGGTTCTGCACAACAAGCTTCGGGTTCCGCGCCTCCGGCACAGTGACCGAGTGAAGCTGGCCACAGTCGAGCGTGTGCTTGCTGTACTACCATACGTCAGAGGTATCACAGACAAAATTGGCTACATCTTGAAGCGAGCTTCTATTAGAACATTCTACAAGCCGCCGAAGAAGATTAGTCAGTTCTTACCATCCGTCAAGTGTCATATTCCAGTGTACAAGCTTGATTGTGATTGTGGTCTGTCATATATAGGGCAAACAAAGAGATCAATTAGAACCCGCATAAAAGAACACATAGCTGACGTGGAGCATCAACGTTCCGGGAAGTCTGCAGTTTGCGATCATATCCTAGATGGCCCTAACCATTACATCAGATTTGATAGACCACAAATCCTCGCGAAAGAACATCGATTCCTACCACGGATGATACGCGAGGCTATTAAAATTAAAAAACATCCTAATTTCAATAGAGAAGAAGGCTGGGTACTACCACCTGCTTGGGATCCTATAATTATTAAAATTAAAACTAAACAAAAGCATACCACTGCAAGACTTCAAAATACAGTTAGTTCATTCTGCGTAGATCGGACCAAAGACAATAATTAAAAAGCTGAAGATACTCCGGGTTAACTTTGACATCGGTACGTCAGTCACTTCAGTCCCCCGTGACCATGGGTGCTAGAAAGCACCCGAAACGTCAGGTATTAAAAATAAAATAAATAAAACGCGATAAAATCCGTAAAAGTAGTTTTAATCAATCTAGAACAAGTTCAGACAATGTGGCAGCGACGTACATAACTTTCTGTTTACTTTACTTTACTTTTTTACTTTACTTTAGTTTTACTTGCTGCAGCGAATATGACGACAGTCGACAAACTATGAACGTTCGTTAAGATTAGTACACTCGCAACAAAGTAGCTGCCTAAATACGAAGGTTAAGCAAGAGATCGGCTGTCCTATATTAAAAACCAGTAAGTGATCATATCGTTACCGTTGCGATTACCGTATATTATATACATCCACTGCATGATATGGACCTACACAGGGGATGATACGAGTACTTATACTGTAACTACACGGTAAAGTGTGAATAGTAAGTGATCATAGTTTTTATTAATAATCTTAATAGTAATAATTGCGTGATGGTGGCGTAAGAGAACTCCAATTCGTCCTGTGGGTATCGTAAGAAACGACCATAATCATCTCGTTTAAATAACACGTAAAGTATCAAGACGGGTGACGAGCAACGGCGTCAAAAATGCGATCGTCTGTTTTTGTGATTGTCAATAATTCTAATTACAAGTATTGTAAGTTACAACCTGAGTGAACACTGAACAGGTTCAGCAGTGGTTTTTTACGTGCCGATAAAGAAAAAACAAGATACTTTTTTTTAATAGGATAAGGGTGACAAACGAGCACACAGCCCACCTGATGGTAAGTGGTTGCTGTGACCCATAGACATCTCGATTAAGAAACAAAATGCAGATGCGTTGTCACCCCTGAGGACTAAGATCGAATGCCTCGATCCCAGTAAAATGCTTTCGAGACACAGGACTTACGTAAATTAGTAGAACAACAGTAATTCTCAATAGAAAAATAAAAAAAATCCGTTATGTATTTGGCGAGGGCTATCACAAGGAATTCTGTGAAATAAAGTTGTAGGCAGCCACTGGGTTTTGATATAGGACAGACGAGATGACAAGACACACTTAAGCGAGTGCCGAGCGCACACGTGCGGTGCAGTTATCCGCTCGGCGCGGATGCGGAGGGCGGTGAAGCGGAGGGGTGGTGAGGCGGTGAGGCGCAGGCGGGGGTGTGGCGGTATATGTGGTCGCGTCGGTGTCTACCTGTGGGGCAGTTGGGCTAGTGAGTTATGTTCCCACCTAAATGTGACGACGGAGACGGCGGGCGCGTTCAACTTCACGTTGGCGGCGCGGCCGGGCGACGGGCGCGTCGCACCACCCGCGCCGCCCGCACCCCCCGCGCCGCCGTTAGCCGACCCGTGCGATCCAGACCCTGCACAACAGGATTTAAATTCTTTTTCAAGCACATTTTATTTAAATCCTTTATTTCCTGATAATAAACTAAAACATGTTAAATACAATAACTTTTGTCCATTAAATGTCGCACGCTTATGTAGTGCTGGACAAATATACATGCAACAAAAAGAGAACAATAAAGTCTTTTAGGAAATCCTCGCCTTAAATAAAGAATATCACAGATCTGTGATTTATTATTTATGCGCATCTATGCATTAAAACATTATAGTATATTCTGAATATTTAATAAGACCCTGTTTCATTTCGTGATGTAATAATTTTGGAAATATAGTGTAAAACAGACCGCTCTATCCATCAACACAGGACAGGAGTATAAGGTACGAGTGTATACGCAAACACACGTGCCCTCACATTTCCCTCACTCTCATAGTTCGCAGGATCACCGGCTAAATATCCTTTCCAAAGCAAAAGAGTGAAAAATGTAATATTACTTAATCCATTTAAAGGAATAAAAATTTTTTTGACAAAAAATGCTGACTTCTAACGAATAAAAACAATGAAATGAATTAACACGTACTAAAATTCGGGCTTCATTCTTCTACTAGGTCTTACCATCGACTTCATAAAATTACTTTATTCTTGTGTTAGTTCTTTAAATAAGTGATTTGTTTTTTGATAGTTAGATCCTTTCTCAAAAGGACTGTAAGAAATTCATTTGCTTTTTTCAGTTCTTACAAATATTTATGGGTAATTTCTAAAATTGATTGCAACACATCGCATAATTGGCAATGGCAATATTAATTTATGACAAACCAGCGTCTGGCTATTATTATTAGAGATGGGCTGAATATTCGTTTCATCTTCAGTATTCGGCCGAATATTCGGCTAAAACACCGAACATCCGTTAAAGTGGTACTCAAAGTGTCCGTACCGTATTGAAATGTACTAATTCAGTAATGCCATGTCTTTCATAATTTACTGTTGAAAAATTATTTTATTTATGGGTTAAATCTACTTGTATAGAGTTGATGTTTTTGAGGCACTGTAAATTTATTTCCAATTATAGCAAATATAAAGCTTGATAAAATGTTTTTGAATTCAAACAAAGAAACATTGCATTACATTAGTACATTTCACTTTACTTTGGTCCTCAGTTTCTCTAAAATAAGTCCAAATTGTAGTTCTCTTGCCACTCATTTTTATCATATAATTATAAATTTTCACTAAGAATAACACAACGAAATACTTATTTCTGACAAAAGTAGTCAAAAAACAAAAGAATGTGCCAGCAATTTGCTTAGTACTATAGTACGTTTCTAGGGCAGGCGGAAAAAAGTACATAGACCTCAAGTATTATGTTAGCATCGAAACAAAACGACGGTTATTGCTTCCACACATTTCTTTATAGATTACGTATCGTTATGTGCTAAGCGTGTCTCATGGTACGGGGTAGGGTGTAGGAAGCGGTCACTCGGAGATAATAAACCTGTTTCGCCGCGATTTGCGATAGGTCTCACGCCGTGCGTATTTGAGAAAGCAGATAGAGCAGAACTCATTCCTCATTCTGCTTTGGGATGCACTTGCGTGTAGATAGTTTGAGATTTAAAATTTTCGGTTATAGTAATTGTTTTAATTTTTATTAAGTTTGTTTTGTTAGTAGTTGTATTATTACGTTTTGTATTAAAATTTTTGTTATTGTTTTGTGACGTTTTGTGTATAATCACTATTCTATATTTATTATTCTATACTAGTCGCATATTTCGGAAACCGAAAAAATAATGATTGTAAACATCTATTAATATGTAAAAGAAACGTGGTCTAGTGATGTATATCCATCCAAAACGGATACGAAAAAAAGAAAAAAAAAAGACTGCCCATATTTTAGGTTATAATCAACGTGACAGACTCTTCTACATCATCATCATCATAAAATGATTCTGAAATAAATACAGATGAATAGTCTGTCGAATGTCTCTGACAATCTATTATGAGAAGTTTTATGCATGCTTCAAGGTTGACTGCTTAAGAATGCTTAACATTAAAAGTTCGTCTTTTTACTGACTGCATAGAAGTGGCTATGTTTTATACAACTACCTGCCTACTAATATAATATAAAAAATAATAATAATAAAGTAATAATTAAAATTGTAATAACTCATGATTTGTAAATAATAAACTTAAATTAATATTAATTTGCTTTTAATTCATTTAGGTACAGGATAATCTTCTTTCTTTATTATATAATAATAGACATAGGGCCTGTAAAGAACTTCACACTCGGCATCCTTATCTTTCACTCTGATGATGTATGTAATGATAAAAGGATAAAAAATTAACCTAAACAAAAAAGATTGCCCACCCCGATGATATCGTCAAAGGTCAATGTACTTTATTCCGCCTACCCTAGAAATGTACCATAGATAATGCAATAACATATCGGGTGTGGCGAGGGGGCGAAGGGCAGGGTCCGGCGCTAATCCCGCGTGCTTTACGGTACCAAGTTTCCACAAAAATTTGTTATAGTATGTGCCAAATCGATTGAGAAAAACGGACAATGACCTTTCGGTCGTTTAACCAGGGGTTACAAACCTTCAATATATAGGCACATTTTATATGTAGTACTTTATTTATGATTTTTTTATTATTTTTTTTATAGTGATTGATATAATATACGTTTCTTATAGAACGAACTGACGTAACGCGTGTTTTGTTTATTTTAAAGCGATAAATTTGCAAAAGCTCAATATGGTGATTATATTGCTTCAAATATTTTTTTTAATATAAAACTGTTATTAAATGAATTGCTGCGTTACTTACCATAAATTGAAATACAGAATATAACACATGTTTCGCGATATACCGTAAGATTTTACGATGTTCGGCCGAATATTGGGTTTGGTAAAAGTTTTACCGAACTTTCGGACGTATATTCGTATTCGGTGAAATCCATATTCGGCCCATCTCTAATTATTATGCGGTAATGTGAGTCGAGTATGGTATAGCGTACTGACTTAGATTAGCATAGTCCTTTTCCGTTTTGTTGCTTTTCATAGACTCCTACCAAATAACATGGATTTTAATGTCGATCAAAGCGAAACATAGTCTTCCCGGATATTTTTAGTCCGATAACTTTTGAGATTATTACTCCGCTATGAAATTATTCTAAAATTAAGGACTCTTAAAGTCGTAGTTGTCTACTTTTTTCTTCTAATTAAAATAATTATTTTGACTTAAATTTAATTATTTTTATTTTGCAGGTAAATTTATTCGGGGAGGCCTAGTTCAGTAGTGGAGTTGAGAGAACTGAAAAGATTATCAATATTTTAGTTAGATAATTAAAGTCAAGAACAAATTTACCACAAAATTCAATCAGAAACACTATTTAATAAGATAGCTAGTTAGAATTAAGATGCAGTTTTAATCATATTTAATTTATAACAATATTTACCGTGTGGTAAAAAGGTGTTTACGACTCGTATAGAGTCTCTGCACTTGGCAAGTTGTCGGTCCACATCGTCGTGTGACACGCCATCAATGATGAACACTTCGGCCATGTCGTCTGTTAGCAGCTGGCACGAGTAGCCGATGTTAATAGCTGTTTCTGTGAACAAAGAAAAAGTTTATTACAAATGAATTACAGTAAAATAAAATAATAAGACATTTTTTCTTTTTTAATTTATTATTTTATTGCAATACTTGAAGCTACAAATATTTATTTAACAAAAACATTCATAAATATCATTAACTAAATAATTATTATAGCTCATCAACGATAGTCTAATGATTCCCAAAAGGGTTTATTTATCTCTAGGGAGAGCCTGCGTTAAATGCATTTTAAAATGAGTATAATTAAAACTTATTAATAATTTCTTCAATAACTTACTATTTTCTTGTTAATATTCGCTAATTATCGAAATTCATCTTACGCTGGTCATTAATTAAAGCTAATAAAAATAATGTTTTATGATAAAAAGTTAGTATGATGTGGTTAGTGTGATGAAATAACTTTAACCTGTCATATGTAGTTGTGTAAGAGAATCCAACAATCCCTTTTTTGTTCCTCAGGTGTCGTATAAGGCGACTATGGAAAATGCCAGATCTTATGACTTTAGATAATTAGCGGTATATATACGTATATCGGTTATTTTTCAAAGAGTAGCCAAATTTTAAACTTGAGTTCAAATATATAAGTAAAGACATAGTACCGTTATTGTAGTTTTTGAAAATACGAGTAAATAAGACTTCTACTGTTATTTGAATTTATCCCAAATTGAATGTGATTTATAGGTAACTTTTTGCCTACCGATCGACCCTTATTAATGTGTGCGTGCGCGTGAAAAATCAGTTAAAATAATGCATTACCGCGTATTTTGAATCTAAAATTAGGATTAGGATTTTTTTTAATTAATTTTCTTCACCATTTGCCTATATTACTTATTCTGAACCTTCTTTGCAAATTTGGCCGATTATTTCAAAATAACTTTGTACATCTAGTTTACGACGGACTTCAAAAATATACAGACCGGCAGCGGGTACCAGCGTCAAACACGCTTATAGTCTGTTTTTTTTTAACAAACAGGTATCGAAAATTTTGACTACGTAGAGTCCATTTCACACAAACAATATAATTACTAGTTATATGTATGGTGGTCACTGCGCTGTGTCAACACTCAGGTGACACAGCGCAGTGACCACCTGTGCATCGCACGTGTTTTGGTGAGTGAACCAGACGATATTGTTTGTGCGTGAGTCATGGCGGACATGTACCCTATAGTTAAGCGTACTAAGCGCCATTTGCAAAACTGCCAGCCAAGCGAAATGATTAGGGCCAATCCTCCCTACAAGAGGAAAGTCCCATGTCCAGCAGTGCGCATTTACAAGATAATGATAAGAAGAAGATAAGATGTTTAACGTCTTAATGAAAATACAACAATTACTTTACTTTAATTATTAATAAATAATAATTAGATAAATCAACAATTACAACGAGAGTATCCAGTTGGATACACACAAGATGATGTCGAAAGGTGTGCGCATATTAATTTCTAGAGAAGAGAGACTTTTGAGAGCGACGTCATCGTCAAGCCACAAAGCCCCGTTTATGTCACAAAAACGAATTGAGGCACTTGAGACAGTCTTCAGTATTGTCTAGTAGTACCATATAACCCCTTTAAAGGTAGCGAAAAGAACAAATTACCTTGTTTGTCCCCTGTTAGTACCCATATCTTTATTCCGGCCATGCTGAGGTTTGCTATGGTTTCTGGAACGCCGTCTTGTAGTTTGTCTTCTATGGCAGTCACGCCTAGAATAAAGCAGAATAGACTATAGATAAAAAAAATTTGAATAAAGCAGAATAGACTATAGATAACAAAAATTTTAAATTAGAAGCTACAATGACATTAGTAAAATCATTACAATGTCTGGGGAGTAATCCTTTCCGGTCGTAAGTTAATTTTGGTGAGTTGTGTGTTTGTTATTATTTTTTATTTATTGATTTTTAATCATTCTTTCATTACAGTGTATCAAAAGACGACTGCCTGATGAAAGATGTTGCTATAGTTGCCACGTTCGACAGGCGAGTTCGCTACCACAGTTTCTTATATTATTTGTGTTTATTATCAGAAACATAGTGCTGTTCTTTTCCTGTATCAGTTTCCCTCTGTTAACCTCTTACGTCGACTACGGGCTGATACAGGGTAAAATACTATAATCATAAGCTGCCTTATAAACGAAACTACGTAAACGAATTATAGATTTCATTGAAAATTAGCGATCCGCCCCGAATTCGCACGGGTGATTTCTGAACCTCGACAATAGAGCCATCTAGCGGGTCCAAATTTGAATATACACCATCTATATGTAATGGGGACTTTATATATATATATATATATATATATATACCAGTTACTCGACTCCACAGAATCAGTAATTCATTTTTGAGGCGATGTATATACACTTTTACAAAAAAATGTCAGAAAATATTATAAAATTTGACGTAAGTACACAAAGTTCAAAAACTTTATTAAACTAAGTTTGTATAAAAACGGTTATTTTAATATTAAGGAATTAATGGATAATAATAACCCCTGAGAAGGGTGATCGCTACCAAGCTATTTCTAATTTGTTTTGTGTTGTTAATTGTAACAAGCATGATAGTAAGCTCTTATTTTTTTTAAACTAGTCCCGTTGGATTTCTTGCTATTTTTCCCAGGACAGAAATTTTTTTTGCGAACCGTTGGTAAATGAAAAAAGTGACTTTCAATAAGTATTATTCGTAATCTATATTGAATAAAAAAAGATTCTGTTTCTATTTGGAGAGCTTACTGTGGGTAATTTTGTGATTTTGTGTTTTTCTTCTTATATTGTGACTCGGCTTTAACTTTTTGGACTGTTTCTTCTATAATAACTTTTTGTACGTGGTAAAGCCACGCTACATCTATATTATAGTTGTAGCACCAATGGGTCGGCTCAACCAGGGCAGGACCGCGCTCTCACAGAACACCAGCGTAATGCTGATGTGTTTCATATGGTGAGTGTAGAGAACCGGAGACTCTTTTTACTGGAATCTAGGCATTCCTTCTTAGTCCTCAGGGATGACAACGCATTTGCACTTTGATTCTTAATTGAGAATAAATGTGTATGTCTATGGGCCATAGCATCCACTTACCATCAGGTGGACTACTAAATATTCGTTGAAGCATGTGCCCATGTCACAAAGGATGATTGGGCAAAAGTGGTAGAAAAAACAAAACCATTGATTATGGATGACTTTGAAAGAGACATTAATTTTGACAGCATTATTGAAAATCAAATAATTATTAATATAAACAACGAAATCCCTACTAGTTGTACAGAAAGTGGTTGAATAAATTTATTTTTAATCGAGTTTCTATCTTAAATTTTTATAACTGTGCCTCTAGAAATAAGCAGTAATAACAAATACGAAGAAACTGATAAATTTTGTATTTTATATTATCCGTTTTTAATTTATTCTGGTATTATACAAACCAAACTGGAAATTATTACCAACTCTAAATAATCGATATCGACTTTTTTAAGAATCGAATGTTGTACGTTCCCATTTTTTGGTTGGCATGCTTGGTGCAGCAAGTCTGACAGCTGTCAAAATGTATTTTTTAGATTTGGTTGACTATAATAATATTAAACAATAACAAATATTTATATATTAAGAAGATATCATATCTCACACTCGTTTGTGCGCGCAACATGTCTAAAAAGGGGTATCAATGTTTTCCCGTGACGTATGAGAGTATATAGATTGCAGGAAGACAACTGACCGAGGAGCAGCAGGTCGGTCTCGATCTCCTCGTAGATGGCGTCGAGGCGCTCGTCGCGGTCGCGCAGCGCCAGCGCGGCGGCCTGGTGGCGGCGCTTCCACTCCGCGAAGCCGCGCTCCTCCAGCGGCCGCCACGCCAGCGCCAGCGTGCGCAGCCCCTCGCCCGCGAACTTCTGCACCGCAACAACACGCACAACTATTACCCGTCTAGCGCGCTACCATCCAACACACACCTTGTGGACCAACTGATTAATACCTACGTAATTATTCATAATGCCCAATATGAGTAGGCAATATGATAAAAACTATTGCAATAATTAAATTTACCGGGTTTTATTAATAAAGTTTGTTAATTAATGAATAGAATAATAAATAATCTAGACACGCGGTAGCGTGTCAAGCTAAGTTCATTAAATTTACCGGGTTTTATGAATAAAGTCTGTTACTTAATGAATAGAAATACAAAAAGTTAATTTAGGGGTTAGGTTGGAATTTTTTTGATCCCATGTTATTTAACAATTAAACACAATAAAATTAAAGGTTTTTTATAATAAAACCATAAACTTGTCATTACTCATATTGCCCGAGCATTATAAATAGTGCCCTGATTAATCACTTGCTCTATAAAATATACAGTGCAATGCCCTTTATTGTACACCAACAAAACAAAGTATACAGATATTAAAGGAAAACTAAAGGCGGTCTTATTATTACATCGCAATTTTTTCCAAACAACCCTCAAAAGAATTAAATAAAAAGAAGAGGAAGATCAACGGGTAAGGTGCACTACAGTTACAAAGAATAACAACTTATCAATTAAAAACACAACAGACTTTATGGAATAGATCAGTGACTATAAGGCCCGGCACACACCACGTACAGAATTCCGTTTCGGAACGAAAAGGTCGGCCACACACATACAGAATCTCGTCTTGCTCGCAAAATTCCATACGAAAAACTACCGTGGGTGTGTGACGGGTCATTGATTTTATATGGACTTACTGCGTTCAGCACCCCGAATCAAAATTCTGAAACGTATTTATGTATGTGGCGGGCCTAAATATAAGAAGGATAAGAAAGACAAATGATGCTCCTAAATTCTTTTCTTGGAAAAATGTAAGGATTGGCATGTTAGACACAAGTCTCTCGACTCAGACTAACAAAGAAAGATAGACGGACTGCAGCGTACATTTCATGTGACGCCGAAACCAAACCAAATTATACGAAACTTATTTTAAAAACACGCACTCACGTACTCATATTTATCTCAAATCATTTGCTTGCAACTAACAACATGTCGGTAGCATATTTGTGCATCCAGCAACACTTTTGCTGACTGATCAGGGAAGAAGAAAGGAAGATGTGTTCGTGAGTGCGAGTCAAGCTAATTATTATTTCAGCGTGAATTGCATAGAATGTGACAATATATTATCTAATATTTAAATCCTACCTTTATCCTTACCCTTAAAATTTAAAAGTACGCGAGCAAATCGAGTTAGATCCTCATCGGCACGACTAAAATTATCAATTGCAATTTGCATGTAGTAAACATGCTCGGCGGTGAAGGAAATTATTATAAAGAAACCTTCATGTTTGAAAAATCAAAAAAACATTTCAAGGTCTAGTGAAATCCGCCAACACGCATTGTTTTCCAGAGCGCGGCGGGTTTACACCAAAACCTTTTTAAAAACATTTAAATATTTTATCATCATCATCATAACAGCCCTTCATAACTCTACTGCTGAAGACGAGCCCTCCTCAAAGAACACCATAAAACAGGGCCTCGAGCCACCTGCATACATCGATTTCATGCACGACTATATTTCGTAATTAATAAAATCAAATCCTAAACAAATCAAAACCAGTAAGCTGCTAACTGTGCAACCTTAAAATATCTTTTCCGCCGAATTATTGTATAAAGATAAAAAGGCACTGAGAAGTCATTTTGTAATGTGTCATTTGAAAATGTTAAAGACAAATTTTTTGGTGCACATTAAAACATTTGACTAAACAACAAAGTCATATTCATATCTATTCCGACCTTATCAACTGTAATTCAATTAAGGTCTATTCCGAATAAACTAAGCTTATATATATATATATATATATATATATATATATATATATATATATAAATATATATATATATATATATATATATATATATATATATATATATATATATATATATATATATATATATATATATATATATATATATATATATATATAGTTATTTGCTTATAAAAGTGAAAAACTTACATTTAAATGCTCTTGGGTTCTGGCCCTCACTTCTGCTTGCCCTTCTCTTTTTAATCTGTCATAAATTACATTGTCAGCACCTTTCGTGTATAATCTAATTTCACCATCTTTCCTTAAAATCACGGACATTCGTTTCCTAACATTATTAAAATCTAATATACACAACAATTCATACACCTGTAACAAAAAAAAACGTAATTAGAAATCCTGCATAATTTTAGAAAAAAAATACATCAAAACATACATTTATTTATGATAGAAATGTCTTTATGTATATGTTCGACCATCTGTTTAACAATAATGAAATAAATTGTACAATATAAAGATATATTCACCTCTGTTTCACCCATTACTTCTATTGTAATACTATTAGGCGAGCGTTCTCTGAACACAAAACCGAAATTTCTTGCTGCCGACACCAGCGCCGACTCGTCCGGTGACTGAGCCTGAAAGTATTTTTTTATATTAAAAGACTGTTACTTAAATTTACAAACAAAATTTTTATTTATTTATGTACACAAAAACAAAGTTTTTTACTTAAATAAAAACGTTACATATACATATTACGTATACGTATTTTACACACATAAATTGCAACAGAAAAATAACTGGGCACAAAAAAAGAATGTGAGCTTGTCTTGACTATGAGCGTGTTTGTACTATGAGAAAGCTTTTTATTAACGAAATTTTGACGTTGCTACAGTCCCCACAACGGTGGCAAGTTGACTGTTGGTATATCACAGTGCTGAAGTGTTTCTTCAGTAGGGCTACGATGGCTGTCCGAGTACAGAACCAGAGTAAGAAATCTATCCGAATGCTAATAAGTGTAAGGGTGATGTGAATCACTATCAAAAGACAAAGCTTATGTATGGACGGATTCAACTTTGCTGGACAGTATTCGGGGGATTATGATACATCTCGCCATGAAGCGGCCAGCCCGTATTGCCAGTGATGATATATAGACATGATACATAGTCCCTCACTACTGGCCGCTTGAGGAAGTTCAAGTTCACTCACCGAGCTATGGAGGACTGTGCTCGGAGTTAGACTTCATAGGTAATTTGCAGTAGAACTAGAGTAACCGACATAGCCCAACTGATCAGTTATCTGAAGAGGCAATGGGCCGGCCATATAGTTCAAAGAACCGACTATTGATGGGGAATAAATGTTCTCGAGTGGCAGCCTCACACCGGTAAGTGACGTTTAGGGCGGTCGCCAAATAAATAAAGTAACGACCTGGTAAGAGCTGCAGGAAGTCGATAGATGCGGGTAGCTCAGGACCTGCTCCGTGGCATTACTTGGGTGATGAATTGTAACGATAAATGATGATGATATACTTGACTAATGTAATGTGGTACCTGGTACTCGAGGCGTCCGTTCTTCTGGTCCGGCATGACGGTGTGGCAGAGTGCAAGCAGCCGGAAGAAGTCGTGTACGTGCCGGTCGCCGCGCCGCACCGCCTCCAGCAGCGTTGAGTCGAAGAACTTGAACTCCGGCTCGTACTCCGGATTGAACGAGAAGTCCAGCGGCTCCGTGCTCTGTATCCAACATTGTATATATTAATATAATATCTTCATGACTCTTTTAGTAGTGTGAGGATGGCAAATGAATTCTTTAATTTGCAATCGCAAATAGTTTTTATGACACAAACGGACTTCTTTATATAATGTATATCAATCTTAGATAATAATTGTTTTTTTTTACTTATGTTAAAAGAAGTTAAAGATATTGGAAGAATTATTTAATTATTTTAAACATTTACATTAATGTTACAATATTTAAAAGAACTAGATTAATGAGGGTAGAAAAAAATCAAACAATAGAAAAATAATGACAATGATTAAAGGTGTCACAGGGTATGAAAGGAAATAGATTATTACACAATTGAAATATCATTGCACATGTGCCAATACAAAATTGTTATGCAATAATATTTGAATGCACCATCGACGTCTATAAATATACTGAAGATTTAATAAGCTTTAAAGTTTTATATACGGAAAACATGCAAGATTAATTTAGCAGAGAACTTTCCTTTTTTCGTTTTATGCAACTCCAAGATGTCTTAAATTTTAATTTAAAGGGCAATATGTTTTAAATCAAAATGAAAAACCATTAAAAATCTTTGCTGTCTAGCCCATTAAAAAACAAACGCCGTATTACTCAAAGCACTAAAAGCAAGCCTATGCAAATTCATGCATGCAATAATTATCGAAATTGAATATTTTTAAGTTCTTATTATAACAGTTTATATGGTTGCAGTAAGTGTATCGTGTAGAGAATTGTGAGACAGAGTAAGATTGTAATATATACATCTATCGGTTTCGAGTTCAATAAAGAAATGTCACGTTAAAACGATTAGGAAGTTAATTTATTACATTATTAAAGTTGTGGAAACATTTTAGTTTGCTCAAATCACTCAAATATAATTAATTTATTGTTAAAATTGCATCTAACCATCTTTGCCAATAACATTCGACTCCTTTTCACCTTTCAAACGTAGAGATGAATACATATATTAGTTTCTTTTATAGCAGGTACATGTCTATTATTCATAAATTTTTGGATTAAGTTAAGCATAAAGATAGGAACATCGAAATTAGGAAGTTGTAAGTCCGTGCGTACCTTATAAAGTGTTAATTGGTAAAAGGGACAGGTTTAAGTAAAGGAAGAGACATATTGCGCTCAAAGATTAGCAACAAGACCAAGCCGTATTTCCTCTAACCACTAGCCCAACTCTCGTTACTACATGTTACATCGTTAATGGCCACATACTACCTGTCTAAGTGCATCGCGGTAGCAATGCCTTCGTATTATGCGAGAGCAAAGATCTTAAACATTTTAATTATATGTAGGTATTTATTTTATTAACTTTGGTAAGTTTGTAAAAAATTATTTCCAGAGAGATATATGAAGATACATGTCGAACAATGATATTTGTAAATTATAGATACGTTATTCCCTTCCTGAAACTGCAGTCATAATAATACTTGTCACGTGCTATAATCGAACCCCTACGACCGAGGTTAATCGTTTAGTCATATCTCTAACATACCGTCAAATTTGTACACGGACGCACTTTCTCTACCCCCATACAAACATTTAATTTATACGTCGTTGTACAGACAGCGTAACAATAACGTATCTATACTTTTTAAATATCGTTGCGGGGGACTTTAGCAGCGGTAGAGGTTCACATTCGCATAAATCGAAGGCGTTGCGAGGCATGCGCGTGGGTCGTACGTGTGTGGCGGTAATGGCGGACGTGGCAGTGGTGGCAGACGTGGCGGCGGGGCGACGCGCGCCCGGCGTGCTGCGGCCCTGCTCGTGCTCCAACTCCAGCAGGCGCGCGCGCGGCACGTCCCGCGCCCCCCGCGCAAACTTCGCGTCCCTCGCACCCCTCGCCCGCTGCACCACACACAGATCACACAACGCCCGTACATCTCAAATTCCAACGCGTTCGGACTTTCCTCAACCACAATCCTGCTCCCTTTAAAGTAACAGCTGCTTTAGGCGCATCACGATACACTTGTTGGGCCAAGTACGTTGTAAGACGTACGTACGTACTTACGTTACGTACGTCAGACTCCAGTGAAATCTTTGTAATTTAACCGAATGAGAGAGAAGGAAGCTCATTCACATAAACCCGTAGAGAAGTTATCAATTTAGGCTTGCGATCTTAGCGTACAACTTATTATTAAATCGGCTGCGGGTTTAAGTAGCAGTACTCGGTTTTGTATTAGCTGTCTTATTCATTTCACTGCTTTTTAAACTTAGTTTTAATTTTCTGTGTCTACATTTAACTAGTTGGTAAAGCTAAGGATCACCCATTTAATGTGAAAAAATCCTTTAGCACTTATTGTGTTTTTCTGTGTCTACATTTAACTAGTTGGTAAAGCTACGGGTACCATTTAATGTGAAATCCTTTGTATTTTTTTTGTGTCTACATTTAACTAGTTGGTAAAGCTACGGGTCACCCATTTAATGTAAGAAATCCTTCAGCACTTATTGTGTTTTATTTATAGTTATTGTTAAAATTGAACAAAACTTAAAATAGTTTTTAGTGTTATTGTTATGATTTTGTTTTATAGAACTTATAACCTAGCTTTATTTTTAACCTCTTACAACTAAAAAGAAAAGACAGTAAAATGGCAATGTGTCTTTAAGGAACCTAAGATGTGTGTAGTAAAAGTTCTTGTACTATTATCTATATTTTTTATATATATATTATATAGTATCTATTCAGTGGCAAAAGTTGTAGTGTTTCAAGCACAATCGCTTAAAATAAAATATTATAGTACATCTTAAATTATCGTTCAATATTCTACATTATATACTTTGTTGCATCATATGTACATGCAAACAAGATCAAACTATGTGTTTTCTACTGACTGACGAGTGGCGGTAGATCTCTTTATGAAACGTTTATACTTAAATATGTATACGGCAATGTGGTGTAAACCAGTTATGTTTTTCCATTAAAACAAGCAAATTTAAAAAAAATGCCCACTCGTTTGTTTTGCACTCTGTTGTATGAATAATCAAAACTTATATTATTCATGCTGAAACCTTAGACATTAATGAATTATGTAAATTGATGCTATGAATTGTACTTACGGTATGACACATAAATTACATCAGGCATACCAACCTGACAACCCCAAAGCGAGGACAAACAAAAACAAAACAGTTTAGATGGTACCAGTATTTAAAAAATCATCATACAGAGTTCATGCAAAATAGTTTCACTTTCCGTGCGAGTATATATATATATATATATATATATATATATATATATTGGTAATCTTAAAACTTTATTGGTGACAGAGCTTTAAAAAAAATTATCTCAAGTGAACACAGCCTACATGCGGAGTCTATGCAGGGAAATGAACCAAATGTACTGCAGTGGGTGCATTTAATTAAGTTTCGTAACCAAAAACTATATAAAAATTTCAAATGTAAAAGAAACTTACCTCTGTGAGCTCGACCGTCTCGCCCGTATTCTCGTCGACAACGTCGCCGTAGCAGACGCCCGCTATCGAGCACTTGTTGAACGTCATTATGTTCTGTGTCAAAGTTCCCGTCTTGTCCGAAAATATGTACTGGATTTGGCCTACAATATATATGTAATGTCAACAGTTTTCATTTTAAATATACCTTTTGTGAACTCGATCGCTTAGAACTATTTTGTGTGATAATTTATCTATATTATGCCTTTATAATAACTAAAGAAACTTTAAAACTGTTCCAAACGTGAATTAAGTCAAAGGTTTTGCGAGACATGAGAGATACAAAAAGGTCAAATACTTAATAATAGTTAACGGACGCAGTACCAAATCTTTATTCTACTAAATATAAAATAAGCAATATTTTTTTTAAATGTTCTATTTTTACGAGTTCGAAACCAAATCAGCCCGATTTCAGTAAGCATTAGAAAACCTTGAATTGTAATTTTTACGGAATATAAACCATTTGATTTACTGGTGATAGGATCTATCAGTTTAACAGGGTAGGTACACCCTCTTACTTAATCCTCCCGTCAAACAGCAGTGCATTGACATTAAAAAGGACGTTAGCCCCACTTTCCAATATTTGGTCGAGAGGCTGGCTACTGAGCGCCTCATTATAACAAAACCTTGTTAAACTTTTTTACGCACCAAGTTCTTCATTGAGCGTAGTCGTTCGCGCTTTAGCCGCGGTCCCTGTCTTGTCGTAATACATTTTCTCGTCCCAGTTTATGAGGAAACTCTGTGCAAATCTTATGACCTGTAACAAGGTTAATTTAAATTAATCAAAGTAGGTAGTACAAAACAAGGTTAAGGGTACACTAGTCACTCATTATTCCATACAAACGTAGTCTAAAAAATGATTTCAATTTGTTTCGTTACTACCTAGCCCTGTATGGAAACAAAAAAGTAAAAAAGAATATATTTAAAAGTACTAATTTTAACACATCTTTGGGCGGAAATAAATACCATAAGAAGAACGAAAATTGTAAAACAGTTACCATACAGGGATAGATTAGGTGTTCAAAAGTGCAAATAATTTTATTTTGAACAGATACATTCAATAGATTTTCATTATATCCAGATTCCCAAAGGTCTGTTTATAAAATTTTGCGCGCTCGTTTTGTTGTAAATCATCGTGCCTTTCGCTTTCGCACGTGATGTCGGCTGAGATAGCATGCATTTTAACCCCGCCCACCATTTAGTTCGAGCCATTGACTAGTGGTGCCACCTCAAGGAAAAACAATAAGGTGTATGCTTCTACATCAGCCCGTAAAATAGCTGGACATGGGTAATTCCCAATTTTTTTTGAAATAATAATGGTGACAAGTGAGCACACAGTTCACCTGTCGATAAGTGGATATCTACGTTTATCCTCAATTAAGAATCAGATTGCAGATGCGGTGTTATCTCTGACGACTAAGATGGAATGCCTCATATTCAGTAAAAAGAGTCTTCAGTCCTCTACAATCAATATACGAAACACAGCAACGTTTATCTGCAATTTTACACTGGTATTCTGTGAGAGCGTGGTTCTACTCTAGTCGAACATTCGTGGTGCAGCCATAATATAGTTCTAGCGTTTCCTTAATTGCCATGTTAACACGCATTGGCGATTATCATATCAGATGTCTCGCATATTCGATGCTGCTTCCCATCTCTGGTCTAAGTATTTTACTTCAGGCGTGAACGAGATACCGCCGATTATATTACTACCTATAAGAAGCCATGAGATCTTCCTGGAATTTTGCATAGTCGTCTTTTATAACCCCCTATGGGAGGTAATGGGAGTGATGGATTGTCTTATGCCACCACCACACGGCTAAGGTTGTATGCTAAAGCTCCTCCGAGTCTATGCGAGGGTCTACCTATTAAACTCGGCGTTTCTAAGATAGTACGAACAAACGTTTCGCCTTGAAGCGCCATAGAAACTATTATTTCCTTAACATTGATTAGTTACAGTATTATGCCGTGGCCAGAACCAATAGTTTAACTGTTTCGTTGGTTTAGTCGTAAACGAGACTATTGAACATGTGGTCCCAGGGTCGAATCCCGGATCGGGCCAACCAAATCAATTGTTTTTTGTCAAGAATTCTTTAGTAGCAGTCCTGAGTCAGGAAGTTGGCGGTGTTTCGCCCCAGTGTTTTGGAAAACACAAGCCATCCTGCGCCGGATCTCTCCGGTCGTGTCGGATTGCCATTCCATCGAGCTATAAAAGTAAGAGAATAGAGAGTGCACCCGCTAGCTTGTGCACACAATCGGGCAGTAGCTCTCAACGGAGATCAATCCGTTGAGACTGGCTGCCGTGACCGTTATTAGCTCTGGAGGAAATTATAATTATAAATAATATTGCGAGGTTTCACCTCGACGGAGACGTAGAGCGATATGGGCACGACGGTGTTCATGACGATCGCGTAGGAGAAGAAGACGAGGAAGGCGATAACGACGGCGCCCGAGGCGGGCTCGGCGGGCACCAGCGTGTCCCAGGGCAGGTACACCTGGAAGTAGCGCCCCACCAGCCACTCCCAGACGCCGCACGCCACCGTGCAGAACACGCACATCGACAGCAGGAAGAATACTATCTGTACACGTGAAACATGTTCTATTGTTTAATGTACTCATCACTCACATTTAATTTGCATGCTATATATTGAAAAGGTTAACAAAATAAGTGTGTAGAATACAACTAAAACATTTGTATATTTAATATGTTTTATGCAAATAAAGATTATTATTATTATATATTTACAGTGGAATCTCTATAACTCGAACCTCGTTAAGTCGAAATCCTCAGTAAGTCGAAAAAAATTGCATTCCCTTCCGCTGAACCCCTAAATACGCGGTATCTCGAATTATTTAGATTTTGTAACTTGAACAAAATGTTATTTCTCTACCAAATATTGACAGTACATATTTATACTCTATAACTCGAATTTCAAAAAGGAGACTCCGTAAGTCGTAGTTAGTAAAATAGAATGACGTCTTACTTGGAATTCCCCGCAATAATACCAATAAAATCCAAAGTGAATGTTCGGGTTCGGGGATTCTAATCTATTCTTTTTGTCTTATACACGTGCAATGAATGAATACAATCACAAAAATTTCTAAGTAACACAGCTGAGAACGTTATGTTTGTTCCTTGTCGACACAGGACACGATTACTTTTAGCGGAGCTTGTCCGTAAGTATTTATTTTGGCTTTGACTGAGCTTGAAAAATAATTGGTAAAAAATCTACAAATAGTTTAAATCAAAAGCAGATAACGGATTTTTTTTTAGTGTACAGTTTACTTTATTAATATGTAATTTGTTTTTAATATGTAAAAATATATACTTACTATAAAACTTAAGTTGAATCCTTATTCCGATTCGACTCTACAAATCGAAAAATATACTTAGAAATCTGTATCGCTTCTATAAGTCAAAATTTCAGCATTTAAATAATATGTATCTCGAAAATCTTGTTAAGTCGAAAACTCGTTAACTCAAATTTTTTTTTGCATTTCCCTTGACATTCGAGTTATAGAGATTCCTCTGTATTTAGTTTTAGATCTTAGCTTTTACCGGTTTTATAATAGCATGAGCCTAAGCCATGTGCATCTTAGTGCTAGATTGAATCTTATCCTACAAACTTCCTTATTCAGATCCCTGTCTGTTAGGTAGTGAGAGACTGAGGGAATTTTGCCTAAGTATAGATGTGGCCTGTTCTACAATTTGCAGGAACTTCCTAACTATTCTGCATGTATTATGACAGTTTGCAAGTTGCAAGTATTGGGTGGTAAATTTAGGGTCTTTATAGATCAGCGCAATTGCTTAAGTATCACACTTGTTGTAGATTATACAATGGGTACTATAATTACTGTTTTAAAATGCCAGAGTCAGATTATTTCATCTTTAAATTCTACATATTTAGACGTTTTCATCTATACTTTTATATCTATAAGGTATCCGGTAATCATTAATGTTATTATAAAAACCTGTAAAAAATTAATTTGAAAATCAGCTTCTTCCAGTGTAGAAAGGTTTTGCTGTATGTATGTGCAATCAAAATGTGCGAGATATCTGAATCTCGTACCTTTCTTTGATGCTGACTTATGCACTAGTCCGAGTACACACATCTGTCACATACGATATGATATATTGCCATCTATAGGAGGTTTCTCCGGCTTCCCTCATAGCCCTTCGTCGGCGCTTACGACACAAATAGACAACTTTATACCACACATACTGCAGTATAATTAAACAAAATAATGCGAAAAAAAAAACTATAATTGATCATTATATCCGAAGGATTACTATTCTCCATAATTCACCAAAAAAAAAAATAACAAGCTAAATGACCAGCTTAGGTCATTTAGCTTGTAAAACCCATTAATTCTCCAGGCATTTTAAAATTACCACTTAAGAAAGCGATAAATACAAATTGGCATATCAATATCTTGATTTATTTCACCCTTTGAGATAATTTATGTGCAACGGTGAAATTTTAGTACCCAAAAAAAAAATTTGCAGGTTAATTTAAAAAATAAATTCGGTCATGCTAAATGTTACGCACGATTAGTGCTCTGTACCATTATCCCTCAGTCTAAATTAATGACACTTCGTAAATTGATCGTGGTATTAGAATTTCTCATTCCTGGTAATTGTTACTTTTGATTCATGTTTTTTTTTCTGATTCTTCTCAGTGACCCCTTTGATGATAAAAGTGGAAAGCAGTATTTACATTTTTTAGTTTATAGTCTATCAAAATACTTAAAAAAATTTGTTGTGCAACCTATTAAGTTATGTGTGTTCAGGATTTTTTTCGAAACCTTGGAAGGTAATCTATGGGGGAGGTCCATAGAATACTATAATACACAATAGAATGGCTGTCAACTTTATTTTATATGAGGATTGGCGTCGCCAAACCCGATTTACTGTGTTGACAGACTGAGTAAATTGACACATTTTAGACTTTTCATTAATGTTCAAGATCATTATTAAATTTTAATACATATTTATTTGTAAATAGGGTGCAATTTGGCATTTTCTAAATAGATGCGATTTGGAACGTAACGTCAAAACACATCTCGTGTTGACATTTATACGTGTGAATTGACGGGTTAATGACATTTTAGTGGCTACATGGGCTCCGCCCACTCCCCCATTCTATTATGTATGTATTATAGTATACTATGGGGAGGCCTATGTTCAGCAGTGAACTTTTGATAGACTGTAACGATACTAGACTATAACAAATAAATAACTAATTTTATGTCCTTCTCTTACTCATAATTTTTTTGTATAGTTTTGTTTGGTTCGAGATATACATGTATAACTCGTACGAATTAACTTGAGACCTGGGCCGATGACGTAATTATCAATGTACGGTGTGCAAAATAATGCGTCGTAATATTTTTTTATTTGAAATTTTTGAGATTTGCATGAGATTATTAATAAAAACAAAATAAAATGTTCTGGCAAGGGGTGAAGTAATAAGTGATATACTGTTGCCATTTTTATATATTTTAAATATTTATTTTTTATAATATATATAATATTATTTTTAGTTAACGCGTCAAGGAAAGACAAAGAAATAAACATACACACTTTCTCATTTATAATATTATTAATTTATTTATTATACACTTTATTGCACTATAAAAAGTGTTACAGATTCGTACACAATAAAAATACAAAGCATAACAGGCGACCTTATTGCTAAAAAGCAATCTCTCCCAGGCAACCTTAGGTTGAAAGTGAATCAATCTTGGATAAGCGGAACAGCACAAACTATGTAAAATCAAGGAATAGAAGTAAGGAATATTAATAAGGATTTATTATAATATTTATTATTCATTGTCACTGTATACGATCGGTTCTATTCCGTCCATTAGATCGTCCTCACTTTCACTCTCTGAGCTGGATTCTTCCCCTCCGAGGGATATAATTAATTCTCTCTGTTGGATTTCTCCAAGTCTATCACTCTCCCAGTATTCAATGTCACAACACAACGTCCAAACTTAACAATAAAACAACGCAATTAACAACAAACAGATAAAATAACGTTCAAGTATAACAAAAACAAACAAAAGTCCAAACCAAACAACAAACAATTAGCAAAAATATCGAACTAGAGTCGAGACGCGTATCCGTAACAAAAATGCTATCGGTACTGAGCGCGCACGGCCAGCTCGGGACGCGGTGCGGGGAGTCGGGAAGGGGGTCGCATTCCAGCGGAGTCTCAAGTTAATTCGTACGTGTTGTACCATAAGTTAGCAACTCAGTTCTAAGTCAAACAGTTTTTCACGAAATGACCGGATGAAACTTTTGTACAATTCATAACACCTACCCCTATAATAAGAAAATTAAGTAGCCTATCAATGCTGGTACGTTTGAACTTGGTCTTCCCGGAGTTCTGCATGAGCTTCGTGTCCTTCCCGGCGAACACGACCACACCGTAACACCACGACGTGTTCCGCAGCACGCATCCACGGAGTAGGATCTTGTCGTTGTCCAATGAGTAGTGCTGATCTCGCCAGCTTAACGTACCTGTACAATAAGTTAAAAGATAAATGCCGCAAAATGTGAGAAATCGAGAAAAGTGAGTGAATGTGGGAGTATCATTGGGTCACGTTAGTAGGAATCATAATGACAGAGTAAGAAATACCTAACAGTACCTCTGTTAGGTATTTCTTACTCTGTCATTACTCATTATGATAGGTCTTAAATATTTAACACTGATAACTAGCTATTAAATTTCAGCAAAGCTTCAAGGACTTTCCGAATTTAGGTGGTTAAATAACGGTTAAATAAAATGAATTTTCAATAAAACCTATACATGTTAGTTGCCTTTGTGAAACTTTTTTTATTTTAAACTTTACCAATATATTTAAACTTGTACCAATATACAAAAATATTCTCTACAAAGATCTAAATGCCTATTTCTTGTGAAGTAAGAAAATACATTATATAATATTACCTATTACCATGTATTACTATCATGTCGCTTGGTCGTAATCGTATTCAAGGCCTAACTTACTCTGCAATTCAGTATAATATATGTATATTATAAGGGTCCGTTCACACAGACCGGCTCGGAGAGGAGAGCAGATTTTTATCACGTTGGAAACAGTGTTTTGAGTGATTGTAGTAAAGTTTATTTTTGCATTTGCACCTTTTTTGTCATTAAAAATGCCTGAACGCGCTTCGTGTGAAGTAATAAAAGGAGCCGACCGGCTCCGCTTGCGTGCTCTTTCTCGCTCGCGCAGCCGATCGGCTCTGATTGCGTGCTCTTTCTCGCTTGCGCAGCCTGTCGGCTCCGATTGCGTGCTCTTTCTCGCTCGCGCAGCCGATGGGCTCCGATTGCGTGCTCTTTCTCTATCGCGTAGCCGATCGGCTCCGATTGCGTGCCCGCTGCGGCCGCGCCGACCGCCATTTTGATAGCAACATTTGAACGTAATAGTTGTGCGTACTTATACGAAAAGATGAATGATGAAAAATTAATAATACTTGTGTCAAAATATGAGTGTTTATTTGACATAACCAAGCCATCATATAGCGATCGGATAATGAAAGACAATGCATGGGAGGAAATTAGCAAATGTCTCGGAATAAGTGGTAAGTAAGGTTTTCATTGTTTTACACCTACCCCCAGATACTCAAACGAATTTTAAAGCAAGGGCTTCTTAAACTCGTGCTGCGACGTGTTAGATTCAAAGTCAAAATAGGAATAACATGAGTTTAAATGCGCCCTTACTTTAAAAACTCGTTTGAGTATCTGATCGTTAGAATATACTTATGTAGTAGACAATTTTTATTAAATATAACTTAAGAAACTTGCGTAGCCACTTGATCTTGCCAATCTAAAGCACCACTTGATGAAAAATAATCCTTAAATTTATTCCTTGTGGTTAGAACTGCGTCGCTATTAGAACTGTTTTCATTATTATTGTCTGTTATTGCTGTTAATAAATTTATATTGCTGTGAAATTCATTCTCTTGTCCTGGCGTCCGATTTTCTATTAAAAAATTATGTAAACATGTAGTTGCTAATATAATTAAATCACAGTACTTCGGCTGAATTTTCATTCGTTTTTGATAAATTTCAAATCTTTGAGTTAGCATTCCAAATGCACATTCTACGACTTTTCTTGCCCTGCTTAAACGCAGATTAAATACTTTTTTTGATAATTCTGTTCTTGCTTGTTCTCTTGGATACGGCCGCAATATATTATTGCTCAAAGGAAATGCCTCGTCTCCTATAAAAACATGTGGTAAGCTTTCAGTGGTACTAGGTAGAGGTTTATTTGGGGGCAGCTTTAACTTATTGGTGTTGAGTTTTTTCCAAAATTTTGAATTCTGTAAAATTCCGCCGTCGCTATTTTTACCATATGATCCGACATCAACAATTAAAAAACTGTATTTCGCGTCGACCACAGCTAGTAACACTGTACTGAAAAAGTTTTTATAATTATAGTATAAGCTTCCACTATTATCTGGTGCCTGTATATTGACATGCTTTCCGTCTATAGCGCCCAAACAGTTAGGAAAATTCCAAATATTAAAGAAATCACGTGAAACCTTTTCCCACATTTCTTCATCTGGCATCTGCATAACTATGGGCATCAAAACATCACAAATTACTCTGATTGTCTCATGAATAATTGAATGAACTGTAGAAATTCCCATTCGAAAATTAAATGACAAGTTTTTGAAACTGCAACCAGTGATGAGGAATCTGTAAAAATAAAACAAACACACAAAATAGAAATATAAGACTGCCGTACCAAAACGAACTATAAAATAAAAAAGAGTTATGTTATTAATTTTTCATTTCTGTTCTTTCCAGTGACGCAGTGCCAGGATCGTTGGAAGAAACTGCGAGATAACTTCAGAAAAGCCTATTATAACCGAAAAGGCAAGAGTGGCGATGGTGCAACTACGTCCAAATTGATAAAATTTGAAAAAGAACTTTCTTTTATTATACCATTTTTTCGCAATCGAAACCAAATATCTAATGTAACATTATCATCGGATGATTCAGAGCCTGGCACACCAATACCACCACCATCGACATCATCTAAACGTTCTGACCATTCTGAAGTTGAATCGCTTGCAAGTACTTCTGGCTCGAAAAAGAGACCACGCTTAAGCAAAGATGTTGCTACGGTTTTCGAAGAGTATCTTGAAGAAAAAAGAAATACTACACCCCGTGACAAGGCATTACGTAATTTTTTTTTGTCTATGTCAGATACAGTGGAAACATTCCCAAAAGAAGTCCAAGCACGAATTAAAAGGCGCGTGTTTAACATTGTTAATGAAGCTGAATTAAGTCTGTATGAAAATAGTACAGATTTGAATTATTCTTTGTCTATAAATTCACCGCCATCGACTAATCAATCTACTTACCTAGTGTCAAACGAAACCTATATTCCTCAAAACTATCCAGATCAGACTACTTACGGGTACAATACCAGCACACAAAATACAAAATAATAAACAATCAAAAACAATAATAATTATAATAATAATAATTAAACACACACAAATCTGTACTATTTAATTACATTTCATTAACGTAAATAATGCTTAATAAATGGAGGGCTGTGATTTTGTGATCTATTTAGATGTTTGTGTTATTTAACATGATTAGTATAAGTAATTTACATTTCATTAACGTAAACAATGCTTAATAAATGGAGGGCTGTGATTTTGTGATCTAAATAACATGATTAGTATAAATAATTGTTTTTTATTTACCTTAAAGTTACCGTTAACCTTTCTTCGGCTGTAATGGTGCAACGATAATTTGTAGTCTTTTTTTGTTATATGTACTCTTAACAAATCTGTCAATTTCAAAAATTGCCAATATTCCATACGATAATACTCATAAAATTTTAGGCTATCTCTCTTCAATTCCTCGAAAATGGTGTGAAACTCCCCATGGATTAGTCTGTTTTTCCAAATATGTTTTACCCATATTTGTTTCCGCTTGCGCTTACGTTTCCTATGTTCTATTTCAAGTAATCTTGCTAACAAATATATTTCTTCGTCGGAGCTATCTAAATCCATGTTTCGAAAAGCACACGTTAACACACCGAAAACAAAACTTAGACTGCGCGGAATACTGGCACTGCCTTTGTAGTGTATCCACCCGACTCCGAGCGCATCCGACCGGCTCCGAGCACATCCAACCGCACCCGCTTTCAGATCTCTTCCAGCCGGTCGATGTGAAATAGTTGGCGGCTCCGCTCCGGCCAATTCCAAGCGTATACGACCCGGTCTGTGTGAAAAGAAAAAAGCAGGCCGATGCTCTCCGAGCCGGTCTGTGTGAACGGACCCTAATAGCTTAGGAGCGGGTAAATCTAGAGGGTGCGGCTAGAAAGGTCAGCCGATCCAAAATAATTTTGGACTGTAATCCAGATCTACGTGGTACGTAATATACATGGTGGTGTTTTATTCTAATGATTATTAACAATAAAATAATATTTAATTTAGCTTAGAGCGACATTAATCCTTAATCATAACATGAACATACCTGAATTCTGAATTCTGGAATTATAACAGAGTCTAAGATATATGTACTTGTGTTTATATAATTTTTACCATGTAATACTAATTTTATAAGTATTTTGTGACAGTGTGACAGACGGAGATGTGAGAGTGATATCCAATTATAGTGAAAAATAATAAATGTCTAGAAGGACATCGTGTTACTCCGTTTACTGATTCTACAACGGATTTGCATCATAGTAAACTTCCAATAAGAAAAAAGGAAGAGATCGCCATGAACCGAACTCCCCATCGATCACTAAGTTCTTTATTAGTGATCGATGGAACTCTCTCAATAATTCATCGCTAAGCCACTGCGCCACGGAGTCGTAAAACGTTCTTATCTTATTGGCATTTTCTCTGACACTGTGTCATCAAATTAAATCAACTGGACAATAATAAATAATTTAGGTTTTGTTAAAAATTCGATAAATATTATTATATAAGTTACTTGACCATAAATGTTTGTACAACACATTTAATATAAAATAATTTATATGTTGCTAAAACTTCGATAAATATTAATATATAAGTTATTTGACCAATAATGTTTGTACACCACTAACGTAGAATATGTAGAACTAATTATTATTTGAACACCATTGTACAACCATATTCTTGTAAATAAAGATTATCATTATTATAATATGATATAGTATGGTCGGCGGTCGGTTGCATGCACTTTACGACACAGGTAAGTGGCAAATGCATTGTTTCAACTTTCGCTACCTATTATTTGTTACGGCTAAGTACAATTATGCTAAAGTATCGTGATGTTATTATGTAATACAACCGTGTAGTGGCGGTATAAGAATATTCACTACCCCATATAGTCCCGTGGGTGTCGTAAGAGGCGACAGGAAAAAATTAATCAGGAAATAGGCGGCAGTATATTCCTGATAAGAAGTTAAAATAATAAAAAAACTGCCTAGCGTGGCAACTGACAACTACGGAGCTAAGCAGTCAGAGGCGGGGGTCCGCACTACTCCACTCGGACTGCGTTAGATAGCTCAAAAAAACCACTACAGAGGCGACATGATGATTGATAACAATACCAAATCATAAACCATCATCATCATGATCCTCATTATCATATTTTAATTAGCTCGCTGAGCATCTTACCCTTTAATTAGATGAAGCTGTAAGAGTCGCATAGGTTAACAGCTTTAACATCAGAGAATAAAGACAATAAGTTAACCTATGGTATTCTATTCTTTATAGGCTGTAATGGGTCGTGAAGTTATTTACATATATACAAAATGTAAGCCCCACTTTTGCATTATCCTTTATGACCTTTTTTTAAAACATGTAGTAATATAATAAATTTTCTTGCAAAGAAAATTTAAGACAACATGCGGAAATCCAACATCGGATTTCCTGTAGGCGTTGGTATGGATAAATAATAATACTTCATATATGTAATAATAATGTCCTCCATACCGAATTTCGGTCACGGCAGCCAGCCTGAACGGAGACTAGCCATTGGTGCAGGACAGGACTATGGTGCACAAGTGTATGCGCAAGCACATATGCACTCTCTATTCCCTTACTCTCATAGTCCGATGGGACGGTAAACGGACACAACCGGAGAGAGATCAGGCGCAGGATCAACGGCTTTACGTGCTTTCCGAGGCACGACGGAGGTGAGACAGCTGACTTCGGGCAGCTACTGAGAATTTTTTAATGGAAAAACTCATTAACTGATATTTATTGAGCCCGACTCGGGATTCGAACCCGGGAGCTCATGATCAGCAGCCGCACTACTACAATCACTAGACCAATAAGGCAGTCCTGCATATATGTATTAGTAAGAAGTATAATCACTCAGAACAGCTCACTTGTCACTTTAGCAAGCTTTCCTTGGCTTAAGATAATTATCCTTATATCGTCCCGGTTCGAGGCTACTAACTACTATGGGAAATGCCAGAAAACCCTAATGGGCTATTACGGGCATATTTAGAAGAAGAGAATAATCATATATTGCGATATAAGGTGTTACCTTCAAACTTATTAAGTAAGTTGTTGGGCGTTTCGCAGACGATCTCGCCGTCGAAAGCGCCTAGTTGTGCGTCGTCCTGGCCCATCGCCGCCGTCTCCAGAAGACATTGGCGACATTTTAAATTCGTCTCCCTGCAAATTGAGTATAATATTAGCATTTCATGACTTAGCTAAATTATACCAATAGGTCTGAAAAAGATTTTTATGATCATAAATCGAGTACATATGTTTCTAGAGAACCGCGCTTTGTGGCAGCCATAACATGCCATGAGTGGCTTAAGAGGCGACGAAATGAAAGAGGGGACGACCAGCAGCATCTTCCTGACAACAACTCAATGCCTGCCTGCCAAGCGTGGCAAATTTTCCAAATATCCCTCCAACGAGAAAATCAATGAGGGTTTGTTCAGCAGCGCACTTTAATTGACTGTATTTGACGATGATGCTGATTAAGTTTAATACTTTGCAGAGAGATATTTTTAAACTTTTATATAATATTGGAGTAATATCGAAAAGAATGTTGCATCTCGTTTTTATATGTAGCAGTTCAAAAAAAATATTTGTAATAATGTTCGGTCAAAAATAATTTAAAAATGCCACGATTCATAAAGAACAGATGATAGCTTAATATAATAGAAAACATTTTTTCATTATTAAAATAATGTAACTCAAGCGTTTAGTTATTTCCATTATCTAAAGTAATTAACTTTAAAATGTTAAAATTAACAGCGTGAAGCTGCAGCAGGATTCATTTTGAGGAGTGCAAAACGCACGTATAATATTGTTTACCGTACTTGAAGGTTGGGTCACAGTTACCACTGACGATTAGGTGAACGCCTGCCAGTTTGTAAATATAAAGTGTAAACAAATTTGATCAACAACTTACCCATCCAGTTCAGCAGTCTCGATGTAACAGAGACCGTTGGGCTCAGAGCTGCTAAGCAGGAGTATGTCGGCAGCGACGAACTGGTCGTTCTCCAGCCGTATGACGTCTCCCACTTGAACAGACGCCCACTTCTCTTCCACCAGTTTGCCATTGCGCAGCGTTTTAGCTCTCCGATGGTTCACTTGCGAGTCGTTTTGATGACGTTGCTGCAAGAAGCGATATTCTAATAATAGACTAAATAAATAGGCTTGCGTCTAGCTAATGCGCTTTTTTTTAGGCTACATCACCACTTCTCACCAGGTGAGACATTAGTTAAGCACTGGCTTGTAGTGAGTAAAAATTGAGCTTAAATTGATGTTATTACAAAAGTAAATAATTTAATTTGCATATTCACGCCGTAAACAATGATCGAAATTAGCAAAACACGAACACGACTAATCGACTCAGTAAATGTGTTTGTTCATTTGCATTTATTTGTGCGGGACATTTGTAGTAATTGTAGCTTACATGGATTACTGTTAACGTAGATCAAGTTTACTTATTTGCATGTTTCTAGAAATAAAATATATTGTTTCTTTTCAAAAAAATTTTTTTCGGTGTACATTTTGTATTTTCCGCCAGGCTGCATCCCCCCCCTGCTTTATCCTTATTTTCCCTTTATAGGTTTTTTATACTATATGCCCCCGGTGTGATGTGTTATTTGGCATGTTAGAAAATTGCACTTTTTTCTAACTCCAGCAAGTTCAAAATTCGATATGTTGTATTCGACTTGAAATTTCAATACAATATGTATTTCAATATGATGACATCATAGACATAACACTGCCTTTAAAAAGTCAGTTGTTCACTTATTTCCCGTTTGTATTTAAATAATTTTATATTGCTGAATTTGCGATCATTGATAAATTTAAAAAAGATAAAATTTAATATGTGTTCCGTTGAGGCGACACTGTTGCACCCACAGCACGCAATATTATCAAAGTTTATAATAAATGCTCCCACCGTGCGTTGCCAAAATTTTTGGCCTGATCGGTTACGTTCTGAGAACTTTGACCGCAGCAGGAATCCACGTGAAAAACTGGAGAAATGTCACATTGGCCAACAAGTGACGAATTGATAGCTATTATGGAAACGGACGATAGATAGCGGTATAAAGCAAATACATTTACATATAATTTTATTGCCTTTTTCGAAAATTAAAATTAAACTAGCTAGGAAGGCAGTGCCGGATTAACCACGTAGCAAGAGTAGCAATTGCTACGGGTCCCATGCAAAAGGGAGCCCCGCGTATCTTAACCAGCCCATAACCGCCAATAAAAAAGTGTAATTTTTTGAGTAACACTTATTAAGACGGTATATTGAATTAACTTGATTTCCCAAAAACGTAACACTGTCAAAGACAATCCATAACAGATTACTTCGTTATCGAAAATGAAACAGAATTTCATACGGTAAACGCACACATTTTAACACCCAACACATCGGGAGGTCGTGACAATAAAAATTGCCGATAGAATTACCAAAATTAACACTTTAATTCACTTTACACTAATTAAACTTCAAACACTAATAATTAACCACACTGATTCACTTTATTTCGCTCCGAAGCTTCGCTTGTCTCGCCAAATTCAATACTTCCCCGATCGCACCTTGCAGCGCCTATAAATACACATTAGCACCGAAACATCCAGAACATTCAAGTAAATACGCGCAAGGCGTCGAAAGTTCGAGTGTCGGCTTCTAGAAGCTTAGTTCTTTGTTTCGACACTAGATGGCGCAGTCGGTTGAAAGATTAGTGATGTCATTTTCTGGAAAGTTCCCCCCGCTCTCGTCCCTGACACAACATGACGTCAACTTAGGCGCGCAACAATACTACTGATCAAACGGGAAGAGCTGTTTACGACTATGCCTTGGCATATGGTCTGACACAACTGGTCACTTCGTACACGCAGATTCCAGATGTCATACATGTTTCATGTTGGACCTTCTGCTGATCTCTCACTCGGACGGCTATCAGGTCTCCGTTGATGCCCCTCTTGGCTCCTCGGATCATTTACTGTTCCGGAGTACAGTGCCAAGACAGCCTTAATGCACTTGATCCCTAAAAAAGGTGACCGCTTGGACCCGTACAACAACAGGGCCCATCGCTATTGCCTTCTTGTTCTCCAAAGTAATGACTTTAATTTTTGGTAACGCAACACTTACGTGGAACGGAATACTAGATAGAACGCGTGAAAGCGACTAGTGAGTCGCTGCGATCGTTTAATATAGACCTTAATATGGGATACACTCTTTAAGAATCATTATATGGATATGTCCAAATAATGCGATAAACATTTTTAGATATTGAAGGAAAAGCCAAAGATCTGACAGGGTGTTATGAATATCAGCAACAAACTTCAAGACGACGCAAGCGAAACAGATAATACGACCATTTTAGCGGTTCTAGTACCTACACTTGAAAAATTTGTTGAAAAAGAAACACCTGGTAATCACTTTGAAATTCAGGTGTTTGTTGTCATTATTGATAACTTATTATCTGCTTTAGATAAACGCATGAAAGCGTACCAAAATCGACAAGTGTTTTTGGAATATTTTAACAAGATGTAAGATACTCAAAGTACGACTGAACTAGCAGTAGCTATCGACGTTAGCATTAAAAGAATATTGACCATTGTCAAATTGGCAAGGTAAAAAAGCTTGAAAAATGGGTGCCCCGCGAACTCAGTGATCGCCAGCGCGAAGTACGCATCGAGACGAGATATGCAATGCCATTATGCATATACTAGCTGTTACCTGCGGCTTCGCCCGCATGGTCATTGGGAAATGAACTATCCATTGCTTTTTGAATTGAAAGAAAACTGAGTTTTATAGATTTGTCAGAGATGCAGCCATTAAAAGCCTGAGCAAAATTGATTCGTCAGCCTATTTAAATGTTTTGAAACGCAGCGTAAAGGAAAGCATGAAAATAGCCTGTTTATTCCAAATGGAAATGGGATATTTTTTAATTAAAGGAAACTGAGCATAATTATCCGTCAGGTTGATGCAGTTTTCTGAATTGAAAGGAAACTGGGCCAAATAAAAGATCTGTCAGAGATGCAGCCTTTTGAGTTGAAAGGAAACTGAGCTTAATAGGTCCGTCAGAAGTGCAGCATTTGGAATTGAAAAGAAACTAAGCTAAATAGGAAAATTTGAATTGAAAGGGAAGATCTGTGGGAATTCTGATTAACTGATTGTGGGAATTTTGGAAAAAAAACTAACTGAACACTATTTTAAGACGCTACTGTACACAATGTTATATGTTTTTCCATTCGGGGAAAGAATGTGGAGATTCTGGGCATTTGACATACGCGAACATACTACATACAGCTGACCATTAGAGAAGCACGGTTTTTCTAAGTTGACCCCCGCTACCTGCAACGTTTGCCCTTGCGCTATATTAACTGTCATTGCAAAACTAAGCTTAATAGGGAACTGCAACCTTTTGAATTGAAAAGGAAGATCTGTGGGAATTATAGGGATCCGTGGTATAATAACATTTTCACCTTTTCCTACGCCTGTCAAATTTGTAGCACAGATTATGTTCCGTCCAAGATGTGTCACACGCAGCCTTGTCCCGTAACATAACCGAGGAGCATCTAAATTTCGCATTAGCATGACTGGGACGCCTAATTTTAATTGAAGCTTATGTGAGGGCACACCTGACAACTCTAGAGAATTTAGAAACTCTACGAGATATGAAGTGCTCTGTTCTGTGTCCATAACTGTGTCTACTGACAAATACTCTGTTATTTCTCCTGCTACTTCGCTTAATATATCTGAATTAATTTGTTAACGCTCTCATTTTTTGGTGCAAGAATCGCTCTTTCACATAACCATTTGTCTTCATGCATGTTGTTCGTTAACTCTGAATAAACGCTCGCAATTAATTCGGAATGACTCCCATTGACATGACAGGTAGCCATTGTCATTGTGCACTGTTTCTTTTAATAGCTGTTTAGGGAATTTCTTTGTACATTTTCCTTCTTTCATACATGGCGATATTGAATTTCGTGCTCCACATGGACCGTGATTCATATTTCGGACGATGGTATCATACAATACTTTATCTTGCTCAGGATCCGGAATCTCGGTGCTTATTATGTCGTCTATTTGGCTGGGCTGCAACTTCCCTTTAAGCCATATTAGAATGTGGACATGCGGTAATCCTCTTTTTTGCCATTCAATTGAATACATGAAGCACTGCACCTCTCCGAAAATTTTCCCTTTGTTAATTACATACATTAATTTTTGTACTTTTAATCTAAATACTCTAGCAACTAAATCGTGTTTGTCAGTACTTTTTTGGCCCGGCATTAGCTCCTCGGTTATTTCTTTCCATGTGGGATTTCAAGTGAAAGTAACAAAAAGATCAGGTCTTCCGTAAGTTCGTACATAGCCGAATACGTCTTGTGTGTACTCATGTAGGTAGCGGGGACTGTTAACGAATGATGAGGGCAGAATTACCATTTTACCTAAATTATTAATATTAACATTGGCGTTGTTAGAAACTGCATCTAGTAAATGTATGTAATTCTCAACGCTCAGTTTTTTTTTTTTTTTTGATTTAATGATATATAAAGGAGACGTTCACTTTCTACCTTCACATACATGTCTACCAAGAATTGATGAAATAATTGTCTACACCGGGCTAAGAGGTTAAAATCATTTTCTCGCAACATCATATGATACGCATAAAAATCCATACATGATACTTTTTTGTTCGGAGTAGGCTCCTTTGTGACCGGGTTAATGAGTGAAATTTGAAAATGATAACCCTCTTGTCCTTTGCAATAAATCAATGGGTATTGCAGAGCGTCATAAAACTTGTGTGTATCGGCTACCCGTTGTAACGTATCATCACGTGCTCGCAAGACAATGTCTCGTGAAGAAAATTGATCACCACTAATTACGGCTGCTATTTCGTTAATCAAAGGTGCATTGTAGCTCCTTTCATGCTCTCCTCGAGGGGTCCGATCTGCGTGAATGACGACTTTATAATCCTCTTCAGGTAGGTTTTCTAAAGCAGTTTTAAATGTTTTGACTAAAATGTTACGTTCATGCAAGAATCTTCGAATTTTGAACACTGTGTCTCCCTCAACTCCCTGGATAAATTGGCAGTGACGGTCTACCTCAATTTCTTCGTCACCCATAAAATATACTTGTA